CCACTGGAACATTCCAGATCAGATACCACTGCTCATGTCCTCACCCCAGCTGACAGTAGTTCCTGCCTCCTCCTCCTCCTCCTCCTCCTCCTCCTCCTCCTTCTCCTCCTCCTCCTCTCCGAGGTCAGGCAAACAGGAGGAGGCTTAAGCAAATCACACCATTGCTTGCTCCACCCTGGGCAAGCATTCCTTATTTACTGTGCTGTAACAAGGGCTGGGCATCTCTGCAGCTTAGGTACCAATTCTCTGCCTTCACTATGTCATTGGAGAAAAACATCAGCTTTGTCTAAAATGAATGCATTCACCTTGCCAAAGATTATGCTGTCTGCCTGTGGCTAAACTCTAAAGCAACTGGCCCAGATTCCTTCTCCTACCTGATGATTTAGTCTGTGTCTGCATTCACAGGTCTCTATGCCTGGTTTTATTTGCTCTATTCTTTCACACAGCCTTAGTGTGTGTGCATCTTGATGTTCAGGAGTACTTCTTGGTGATGTTTCAATTGAAATTGATGAGGAGAAAATGACAGGTCACAAGCAAGGGGAACAGAGATATAATTTTTTGAGTAAGTCATTCTGTCTCAGGTTTTCCTGACACAGTCAGGGACTAATGGCACAGGAAGCTGCTTCCCAGCTCACAGCATCTCAATTAGCTTCTTCTCTCTTCCATGTTGTTGCAGGCACTGAACTCAAACGTCGTCATAGGAAATGGTGAGCAGCCCCAGACTATCAGAGGAGCAGAGGCTCCTGAATACCTCCAATCACCACTTGTAACTAGAGGCAACAGGGCAAAAGACATAGCCCTCAGCTCTCCCAATGCACCCTGGAGCAACGTCCTCCCCCACTGCTTCCCTCTGTTCTTCAAGAGCCCTTCAGGACCCAACTTCTGCCTCTTCTCCAGTCTCCTCACTGCCCAGACTGGTTGAACGGGGCCAGGTTGGGACCTCAGCAACCTCTCTTGCCTCCATGTCTCCAGCTCTGACCTGAGCTGCCATTTTTATCCTTTGATTATCAGGGAGCTCCTGAATGATCATCTCCCTCCTCCCTGTAATTGACTCCAAACCCAAATGGATATGTTTAGAATGCAAGTCTGGGTCTCCACCATGGTATCCAATATTACAGTAAGCAAATGCAGCCAGGCACAGAGAGGACAAACCATGCTGAGCAGTGGGGTAAATATTTGATGAAATTTCAAACAGATTGGGGTTGGATAATGGTATTATGGTTTGGTTTTTCTTAAAATCCTTTATCTTTGGGAGACAGTGTGCTGAAATATTCATATATAAATGTTGGGACTAAGAATTGCTTCCAACTAGCCCAGTGGTGGGTAGAATTGAGTGTAGCTATAAATAAAACAGACTTTTCAATGACTTCATAAATGTTAAAATGGATATTGGGGAAATAGAGGTTCACTTGGCTATTCTTTCAACTTTTGCATATATTTTTTTTCCATAATAGAACATGGCGAAGGCAGACAATTGCCCCACATTTCAGACACAATAAAAGCCACAGTCCTACAATGGTCTCCAAGGCTAAATGCTAACTGCTCTGAGGTTCTCTTACTTAAGGCCCCTGCTAGACCCTTGATGACTCTAACAATGCCTTGACTAGATAGATAAGCCCCTGCCCCAGTCCCTCAGCTGAGACTGTTCCCTCTGCCTGCTGTGTACTTTCTACAGCTGTCAAGCCTGAGCAGCTACCTCACTGTCTGAGAGCCTGCTCAAGTTCATCATTCTCTTGGGGGCCTTTCAGCATCGCCTGCTTAAATGCTAACTACTGCATCTGCTTTTCCCAGCCTGCCAGACCACCACCAGCATGACAGCAGTTACCCTCAGGGAACCACCAGCGTGCCCAGTCAAAGACGAAGAAACGTGTTGAAGGATGAACTTAGAGTAGAAGGAAAGGAAAAAAAGATATGGCTAGGGTAGGAGACGAGCAAGAAGACCAAAAAAAGAGCAAGAATGAGAAAGGAAAAGAGGTAGGAAGGGGGAATGGAAGGTGTAAAGTCCCCAGTACAGTTTCAGCAGGGCTGGAATAAGAAACCATGCCATGTCTCTTTGGGGTGATAACTGATGCATACCCAAACTAGAGAATTATAAATGACACTGCTGGATGGACCAATGCAGAGAAGCCATAGTAGTCCCCTTTGTGGGACACTTTCTATGTCCCATGGCCATCTTCAGCATCCCTTTAAGTACAAAGCTGCCCCAGACAGCACCTGCTCCCACATCACTACTCTCCGAAGGCTCAGCAGCTTTGTCTAAGTTGAGCTTCCCTCGCCTCTGAGTATCCCGTAGTCCTTATCCATCTCTCTGGAGATGTGACAAAGCTTAGCCTTAGGTGACTTTGAGCATCAGCCTGGAGAGCCCTATGTCTTTCTGGCAAATCCTATGGCAGATAACAGAACATCTGTGCTTCAAAAGAGCTCAAAATAAAGTTTGTGGACATATGGTACACTGAAAGACTGAGCAAAAAGTAAGACAAGTTTTGCAGAAGGGTGTATAGTCCTGGGTAGAAATACCTGAGGGGGCCACTGAGCAACTGTGTTCTGTAAGAATCTGGCCTTGATTTACAGACATTATTGCCAGGTCTAGCACAGAGCTGGAGCTTGCCACGTCTCAACTCACACCACCCACAGCTCTACCCTAGCCTCTCAATCCTTTTAGATTCCCTTGAGCCTCCTTGCTCTGTTCATCAAATCTCAAAAACTGATATACCCGCTCTGTTCTCAAGTCCCTGGAGCTGTGTTAAGTAAGACCTAAGCCAAGCCCACGTTTCATCTGTGGTTAACGTGGCTGACAGAGTATGATAACAGCTGATTTTGGAAGCACACACAGTAGGTTCTAGGCAATCCCAGCTAATAAAGCAAGCCCCTACAAGATGCCCCTTCTCCTCTCAGTGAGTAAACCAAAGATGTGGATAAAAATTGTTCATAGTCATCTTTACGTAAAGAGTTCTATGTACCATCTATGTCAGGAAGAGTGGCACCTGCAGAAGGTCAATGCCAATGAAGCAAAGGGCTCATAAACATTAACTATAGAACATGTGAAGATGTTGCCTTCTCTTAAGATTATGTGTGGACCTAGTGAAGCCCATGAACTGTGGACTGGTGGCTGTGGAGCCCCCATGGGACTGGACTAGGCCCTCTGGATATGAAAGATGGTTGTTTAGCTCGAAGTGTTTGGGGAGCACCCTGGCAGGGAGATAGGGATCCATCCCTGGTGCATGGGCAGGCTTTTGGGAATCCGGTGCCTGTGGTATGACACCTTGCACAGCCTTGGTACAGTGGGGAGGGGCTTGGACCTGCCTAGGCTCAGTGTGACGGGCTCTGCTGACTCCCCATGGGAGACCTTGATTTGGGAGATGTGGGGATGTGGATGTGGGGTGGCTTGGGAGAGAGAGCTGGGAGGTGGGAGGAGGGATGAGGTGGGATCGGTAGGTGGTATGTGGAGTAGAAAATTTCTTAATTAAAAAAATGAAAAAAAAAAGATTGTGTGTGGACATGTTCAGAGAATAAAATCCCTTCACTGGGACAATCTGCTTCCAATTCTGAGCATCCTTTCTCACAGCAACTCAGCCATTATAAGGCTTCACCACTACAGTAAGAAAGCAAGAGGCTTGCATAGACCATCTGGCATACAAGAGTCACAGAGCCTAGAGGTCAAACCCATATCCTTGTTTCAAAGCCTAGGATCCTTCTACTACAAGGGAGAGAAAACAATATGGTAACTACTTCATTTGGCTGACAGGGGGAAGTGAGATGGGCTGTGGCTGAGTATGCTGAATGTGAAAGTGACTCTCTTGTCTCCCACCCATGGCACCTTGGACACATCTTTCCACATCTCTCCTGGCCTTCACAATGAGCTTCTCTCAGACTCCTAGAGGTTCAAGATGGCTAAATTCAAAAGAATTTTTTGAGAGGTCACCAGTGCACAGGACAGGTAGAGTTTGTTGAGTAAAAAGAGTCACGCATGCTTTCAGAAAGGAAGATATAGAGTGTTGTGGGCCCAACTCCCTCAGTCAATGCCCACAGCATGTATTCAAAACCATCTTCCAAAGGAGCTACAAAAACTTCGGGCTAAATGGGACATTAAGTAGGTTAGGGGTTGCCTCCATCAGATGCCAGGACCTCTACCTACCCATGGATCAGTGGCTCCATGGCCTCGGGATAAAAAAATCTGCAGAGTAGAGAAGCTCCCTGTGCCAGGAGCTGCCTGTCTCACTCCTGGATTTAATTATCCTATGGAGAGCTCCATGTGGGACTAGAAAAGTGAGCACAAGCGTCAGAGGTAGATTCCAGTGGATGGGTAGGCACTCTTCTAGGAACTGGGGACAGAGAGCTGAGCCTGAGTCCTGGTCCAGTTTCCCAGGAGCCATACAGCAGAGTATCCAGCTTGTGTATGCTGCGGCAGCCCTTCTAGAAACCAAAGCATGCGACACTACACCAGGTATGCAAAATTTTACAGAAGGAGGCAGTTACTAAATTAAATTAAAGATAATTACACCAAATAGACTGAAGTGAGATAAAGCATTCAAAAATAATGTAGATATTTAAATTAAAGTTGTTAATGTGTTGGCATATTGCTACCTTTGTCTCTTATTTTCTCTTAGGCTTTTCTTAAAATTGAACTCCCACATCATCTCCTGTGAGAAGCTTTGGCCACAGCGAGCCTGGGTCAGTGGCTTACAGCTGAGTACGGCCCCCTATTTGGCTCATTTCTGGTAGGAATTCTGATTTCAAGGGGTGTGTCCATTTGTACCAGACTCATAGCCAATCACAGACTATTCTCCATGTCTCCAAGGCCCAGATCAAGGCAGAGAACAAAGTGATTCTAAACCAGATTAATGAACTGAGCCCAATCTTTCAGTTCTCAATATTCACTGCAAGCTCCTGGGGAAAGAGGCTGAACTTGAGTCCTCTGTTGGATGTCAGGCAATGGAGACCATGCAATTGAAATCAGTGTGGGTGAGCAGGACACCAAAAAGAAAACATGGTTTACTTACTCGGAGACCTTGAGGCCCAGGGGGTCCCTCTCTGCCTTCTGGACCAATCAAACCCTTTAAGAAGAGAAAAAGGAAAAAGAGGGAGAGAATGTAATGTTCCATGGCATGTCAAATGCTCTACTCTCTCACTCTCATTGGACAGGGACAAGTCCCTGCATCCAAATGGAAAATTATGGGGTGAGAGGAGAAGCAGCAATCTTTGATCTACAATCTACTCTATAACATGCAGATGGACTTGGGCTTTTTAAACAAAGAAGACATGGGCAGTGTCACACATACAGCGGAAGAGCACAGCATGGACCACATGGTTAACTCAGTAGTTTGCATGAAGCCACAGAGACGAATCATCTAAAACCCAAATGTCCAACTCTTAAATCTGTGCCCATTCTTTGCATTCTGCTGCCTCAGAAGGAACCAGCTTGGGTTTTCTGACTCTCGGGAAACAATAAGCAAAGTACAAAAGTTATTACAAACCAAACCTTGAAATATGGCTCCACCATTAAGAGTACCTGTTGCTCTTCCAAAGGCCCTAGATTCAGATCCCATAACCCACATGGTGGCTTGCAACCATCCATAACACAAGTTCAAACAGGTCCAACTCCTTCTGATCTCCACAGGCACCAGGCATACACGTGGTACACTTACATACATGCAGGCTAAACACTCATACACATAAAGTAAAAATAAATAAATCTTAAAACAATAAAGTTGCCACATATAAAATTATCTAGGAAAGGTACACGTCAATTAGAGAAAGAATGTTGATGGCTATAAATGCTGTGTGGCCTCTGGCATGGGGTCAACAGACATTGCCAAATCTTGATCATGTCCTTCTCTAAAGTGGAGATGACGTATTCATCTGCTGCGCATTTGAAAGGACCACATGAAGAGTGGACCCTAAGCCTCGATGCATCGCTGTAATTATAAATAACAAGTGGAAATTCTTGACGGACGGGTGAGACCCTCATCTCCAGATATGGCTCCCTCACCATGTTTTGGTAAAATTTGTCCAGAAACTTTCATTGTCTTAAATAATCAGCATCATATAGGCACAGTCCCTATGGCCAAATGTTGTGGAACTCTTTGGTAACCAGACTGTATTCAGAGCCACGGTCTTTCCTTTCTATAATACTGTGTAAGTGGGAAAAATGAGTGCACCCATGGCATAGTAGGAATGGCATGTGTGAATTCTCCTTCATAAGTAGAAATAGGCTGAGCTCAGGGCCCACTAAGGGGAGAGAGCTCCACAGAAGTCACTCTGCTTTAAGCATGGAAAAAAAGCCTGGCACTGAACAGGCCCAGTGGTGACTTAGCCATGCCCTGGTAAGATTAGTACAGTCTGCTTCATCCTAGGGAAGGGAGGAAGGATGCCAGCATTTGGATGTAGAGTATCAGATGCGGAGTATCATATGCTGTTTCCAATTAGGGCACAGGATATATTTTCCTCTCCCTGCGTTTGCTGAACACAGACTCAAAACCTTTCCATTCTCCGCAGAAGTCACCAAAGCCAGCTTCCAAGTTTTGTTCAAGTTCATGAATATTTGAGAAGCAGGTGCTCTGCGGATGGCTCCCAAGTAGGTGCCGCTGGGGATTCAAAAGGAGGCAAGAGATGCACATTGAGATCTATTTTGGGTTTAGGAAATCTCCAAGAACACTAATTTCCACATCAATCCATTTAACCCTCACAGCATAATTATGTAAGGGATGCTGGCAATGAAAATTTTCAAATTAGAGATGAACCAATTGAGAAATAGAGTCATTGGGTACCGTGAGAAAAGATGCAAATCAACATTTTGGAAGGACACAATAGGCTGTGTGGTCCAGGCCTTTGGCTTGCAATTGTGAGTGCCTTTCATGGCCACTCTGCTTTTTATTCACTCTAGTCAAGTCCCACTCTAATACTCTCTTGAGTGTCTATTGGCAGGAGCATCTCTCCATAAGTATTCATTAATATCCCATCATGTGATAAACCTTATGGATTTCAATATAGGAAAAATATCAGTCCTGGCCTTAAGAAGTTTAGTCCTAGTGTAGCAATAAAATGACTCCTAATGGCATATTTCTATAACCATTGATCAGATCATTGCTCAGCCTTCACCAGAGAAGCTTACTCAAATAGATGGGCATTGACACAGAGATCCACAACTGAACATTACAGAGGGGGAGAGCCTTTGGAGCACTCAGTCCTGAATGGAATGTCTTCATCAAATCCCATCCCCCAAGACTCTGAGATCTATGTAGAAGAGGAGGAAGAAAGACTGTAAGAGCCAGAGGTAGTGGATGACTCCAGAGACACTGTCTTCCAAACACAACAGGACTGATGCACTTACCAACTCCCAGAGACTGTGAACCCACGCAGAAGAGCTCCACATGTTCAAACAGGATAAAACCCCAGCACTGAGAAAGGAAGTGGACACGAAGTCCACTCTAACCAAGAGTCTATTTGGAATAGATACCTTGTGGGAAGGGTAAACCAGTTTCCTCCACTGCAGTGTCTCTTGGTCTATCAACCACACTCCAGGGTAGGACCTATGCCCAGGAGTAGTCAGCAAACACAAAAGAAACTTCATGGTTGGGGGGAGACGTGTGTGTGTGTGTGTGTGTGTGTGTGTGTGTGTGTGTGTGTGTGTGCGTGTTTTGTTTGGTTATAATTTTTTTCCTATTGGTTTTGTCTTATTTTTAGTAGACTTTTCTTTTTTAAATTTTTGTTATTGAGAGAGAAAGAGAGAGAGAGAGAGAGAGAGAGAGAGAGAGAGAGAGAGAGAGAGAGAAGTTAGGTGAGTAGGGGGAATCTGGGAGAAGTTGGGAGAAATGAAAGAACATGACCAGAATATATTGTCTGAAAACAAAGGAAACAAAAATGAAGGAAGATAGTAAAATATACAAATAGACAGAAAAATGTGATTCTAAAAATACATTGTCTGAAAAAAAATTAAGCAAAAAAATTTTTAAAGAGGTTCAGTTCTAGAATCCTGTTCCCTTTTAACAAAGCCTTCCCCTGGGTACTTCCTGAACTCTGACTAACGTAATTTCATTATCAACACCTTTTATTGTATGAAGTCCTACTCTACAGTGACAGAAGTGTAGAGCATGGACGACGTCTTCAGTAATCTCAGACAGTTCTTCCGTCAGCAGTTCTGACTCCAGTGAAGTAACTTAGGAAAGCTTCACGACCTTTTCCATTATACACTTCAAGAGGAAAAGCACCTCAGCTGGATAGACACCCAGTTCAATTTTTTGTTTTGCTTCTTAATAGCTTTTTCAGCCAGTCAACCACCACCACACCAATTCCTTCACTGCTGAAGATGAGCAACTACTGTATAGAAATTCATTCTTTTCCAATAGTGGGTCTAGAGTGTATGTTTACATACACACAGAACCTAAGTCTCTCAAAGATTACAGTTAGATAGACTGTAATATGCTAGGTAGACAGCTGTGAGAAGATGAGCCCTGGAATGGTAGAGCAGAAGACAGCTCTATTGACCCAAAAGTTTTGATATTAAATTGTTCCAATTACATTGTAATCAAACATTATCTAGGTCTGGTTTATTTTCCACCCCTTATTACGTGTCCTAATGATGAACAGCTCTAAACTTCGATGTGAATCAATTTATAGATGCAGCAGCTTCATTTCCCTCAAAAAATACAGTGATGTAAAGGAATCAGAATCACGTTGCCTGGAAATAAAACTTTAACACACACACACACACACACACACACACACACACACTTCAAGACTTTCAATGCCCCCCATAAAGTTCACTGCATTTTTATTAATTATCCTTCAATTCTTAACTTTCTCCATAAATGATCACAGGGATCCTTCCAGGTCCTCCTCCCAAATGGTGATTTTCCACATCATTAGGTTCTTAACAGAGGCAGAAATCAATGGCTGTATGCACAGAGCCTCTGAACCATCGGGGCTAATCAGAGAGGTGGGGGAAAGTCACTATGCATGAAGCGGTTCAACTGGCACTTCAGTGTCGAATCTGAACAGAAACTGATCGTGGCCTGTTTGGGGACAGGGGACTCTGAATACAGACTGTACAGTATCTGCACCTGCTTATGTGTCAACAGCAATGCCACCTGTCCACAGAACATCCAGTGGAGGATGGCAAGAGCCACAGCACCTGGCCTGAGGGATAGCAGAGCTTCAGAAATAATTCCCTGTTCAGCAACAGGAAAGAATCTACATCTCCAGACTTACAGGTGTTTTGGTACACCCTGCCATGGGGGAGGAGCGACTTACCGGTGCTCCTGGAGGCCCAGGTAGGCCTTGGTGACCTCTTGGTCCAGGGGCTCCCTGGAAAGACAAGTAAACAGACATCAGTCACCACTCTCCTCTCTATATGATCAAGACCACCACCACCCATGGCCTTTCATTGACAAGAACTTCCTCCCCAAGCTCCCAGAAGGCATCAAAGGCATGGCTGCAAACATTTGATTTCCAGCTGAAAGCAACTGGACACATACCTGAAAGAATTCCTGAGGCCAACCCCATAGCTGTGGCCTTTCTTCTACTACAGCTTAAATCCCCATGGGAAAGACCCATTTTCCATACCTGCTCTCCCTTCAGGCCCTCTTTCTGCACCTGAGAGACAAACAGGAGTTAGCAAAAGTGTCATCACCCCCTCAACAGTCATCAGGCACTCTCAGCTCCACCCCAGCTATTCACTCCACATGCCACAACGTGGTGGCCTATGGTTCTTCTCAAATCTGATTCGATGTTTGGTGTTGAATGCTCTTGTGATTAAAGGTTTTAACGGCACACATTAAGCGTACATACCAGTGGGTTTCATTACAGCCTTTTAGTGCGTGTATACAGTATTTTCTGATTGCATTCCTCCCTCAGCAACCACTACTGCCTAAAGACCCTTATCCAAGTTCTCTCATCACCAGGTGAATTCTGCTTTATGCATAGAAGTCAGTACTCTTCCAGCAACCCAATTCCATGAGCTTATGAGTGCATGGGTCTCACCCTCAGTAACTTACCACAGAGCCTGGCACGCCAGGAGGTCCTGGAGGCCCCACATCTCCCTGCAGAGGGACAGACATTAGATCAAGTTATTGCTGCACACTCTTATATTGCCCTTTCTCAGGTCCTGGCTTATCCCAAACACCAAAAGGATCTTCCCTGTCTTCCATCGCACATATGACCACCATGCCTGAACTCCCCCGCTACCTCAGAGTATTCTAGAAGCTTCTGCATCTGATTCTCATCTTACTCTCAAGCTCAGAGGCTACTGGAGGGCACAGGTCTTTTTCTTTTTCTCTTTGTGTCCATTCAGACCAGTGTCTCACTGGTTGTTGTGTGAGATCTGCCACATTTACATGCTATTTCAGAAATAGCATTGGACCACCATTCGAGGGATACCAGATGTAGCAGACTGTGTTAGATATAGAAACTGCAGGTATTTCTACCTTTGCAGTGGCCCTTGTGCTAAATTCATGGTTTGGCACATGGTCAGCACTTATCAAACATCTACCAAAAAAGTACTAAGAAAATTCTGTGCAGATTCCCATTCATCTTCATTGCTGTTATACAGCCATGTCCCATATCTTCTGCTCCTTCATGTGTGGGTCACCTGGGCTATGTTGGCTCTGGTTCTATCGGGTCTCCCAGGGCATGAACAACACCATAGCTCTACATGAGACATGTCTGTTAACTGGCAATACAAAACTCTTGATTCCATGACTCCCATACCCAAAAGCTAAGGCCAGGACACTTCATTTAGCTAACACCCCTCACTGGAACACTTTTCTCTTACCTACAGCCCTGCTCAAGCAGTCCAAAGCATTACTGAATAAGTGAGTGAATGAGTGAGTGAGACGCTGAACAGGGATGAGAGCCTACTAAATCTCATAATGAAGTAGGAATAATTAGTGACCAGGCGTGCTTGCCATTGTCTACTGCATTTACGGGTATGTTACACCGACAAAGCACATCCCCTACCTGCTCTCCCTTCAGGATTTCCCCTTGAGCCCAAAATCAACACAGGTACCTCTTGCCTGCCCCCACCCAACTGTATTCTATCCCTGCCTGAAGCATTTTTTGTGAACATCACCAAGTGAACTTCTAAAATCCTGAATTGCTCTTTGATCTGTTTTGCATATATATGCATGTGTGGATGTTTGTGTGTTTCCCTCTGTATCTCTTTCTATTGTATTTATTGAGGCAGGATCCCTAGCTGAACCCAGAGTTCATCAGTCATTTGGTTAGCATACTTGGCCGGTTTGTCCTGGGGATCCCCTATCTCTGACTCCCTATTGAGTTTTAGGCATACCAACAGAGCACCACACCAGCCTATTTTTTGTTTTAAATGGAGCTGCAGAGTTTTATCCACTCAAGTCATCTTTGCAGCCCCTCAACTGCTCTTTCCTATGCCAAAAGGCTTACATAAAATGCCACAGGAAGCCTGCAATTTTATAAGCAAAATTAAAAAATAAAATTTATAAAATCTGAAAGTACTTGAGTGACAGATTTCCTTACTGTGCATTCATTTTGGTCTCTCATTGTAATAACTGAATTCTGCCTAACAGGCATTCTTATTTTCCCTAGATTACCACTGCATGAACACACACACACACACACACACACACACACACACACACACACACACACCCCTGCACATGGCCACACTGTGCATACTAAAGCATTCTATAACCTTCCCAGGCACCTTCATAACAAGTACTTATGAATATACATGTCCCATGCACTCAGGCTCTAGCTCAAATAATTCCTCTGCCTTTCTTCTTTGGATAATCAACTTCTCCAAGCTGCTTCTATTCACTCTACACTTCCACGGGTTGTATTAATATTTTGGTAACATATAAATTGATCATAGCTCAACTTAGCATTTCCATTCCTGAGTTGAAAGACCCATGCCCAAAATCAGCTTGAGGAGGAAATGATTTATTCCACTTACTCTTCACATCACAGTCCATTATCAAAAGGAAATCAAGGCAGGAACTCAAGGTAGGAACCTGGAGTTAGGAACTGATGCAGAGGCCATGGAGGAGTGCTTCTTACTGGCTCATTCATCATGGCTTCCTCGGCCTTTTTTCTTACAGTACTCAGGACCACCACTCCAGAGGTTGGTACCACCCATAGTGACCTGGGCCCTCATATCCATCATCAAATAAGAAAATGCATCATAGGTTTGTCCATAGGCCAGTCTGGTGGTACATTTTCTCAGCTGAGCTTCCCTCTTCATAAATGACCCTAGCTTGTGTCAGGTTGACATGAAACTACAGTACAGCACACAGCTATCCTGTAATTTTGTGAGGAGGCCCTACACACATTTGGACAGGCAAAATTATAAATGGCTGAATAAATGAATCTCTGGGGCTCATCGTGACAAGACATAGCTTGTCATTAATATCACTAAACAAAAGCAAGTGCCAATAATAGTCATGAAATAAATCAATACATGTTTTAATCAGTTGCAGATCATAATGAGATAAAAAATCTCAGTATATTCAATTTTCATTGAGTAAATTAGTATCTTGGTATTCATCCATCACAATTTTGTAAACATAACCAATAGTTATTGGGCAATTTCTATCAGCTATTCTCCAAGGTCCTAATATAGATGAAGTCTTTCTCTGAGTTAATGTTTTTGTTATCTTTGAGATGAAGAAACTAAAGCATAGATATGTAAGTTGTTTAAGGTCAAAAATTTAATACCTAATAGCTTCAAATCTTTTCTAGGGTCATATTTTTCAGCTATATGGAATAATCAATTTTTGTACTGATTGATTTAGCTACTGGGGTAACTAACCTCCAGGATGACCCCCACATTTCAGTATTTATGCACAGAGCAGCATGGTGTCCCATAAGTGCCCAATAGCAAGAGTAGAAGGATGCCATGTGACCTTCACATTGAGATTCTAAGAAGGGCTGTGGATTCTACGGGGTAATTTGTCACTTCCCCTTACTCAGGCCCTGTACTCTGGAAAACAATATACACTATGAACAGCACCGTGAAGAAGCTATGTAGGCCAAAAGCACTGAGGACCTGGGCCCACCAGTGACTACATAAATGACTATGGGAGAAGGTTCTACAGCCACAGGGGAGGGACTCTTGACATAACCACAGCCCACTTCAGGAGAGATCCTGAGCTGGACCAACCCAGTCACATGTCTCTAGATTACTGCTCTGAAATCCCATGAGACCTTGAACGACTGCTGTTAAGCTACTACTGGGGTCTGGGGTAATTTGTTACATAGCAATGGATAACAGATATACTGGAGGTAATCTAGTACAATTTTCAAAACAACACAACATACATGCTCTCACATATATAACAATGCATCATTGGATGGTCATGTGAATAAATTTAAAAGTAGATTTAATGAAGCAGTAAGGATTGTAAGAGCCAAAGGGGTCAGGGATATCACAGGAACATGGCCCACAGAATCAAGTAACCAGGGCTCACAGAAACTTAAACAATGATCAGGGAGCCTGCAAGAGTCTGAGCTAGGTCCTCTGCATACATGTGTGTGTGTAGCCTGGTGTTCTTGTGGGATTCCTAACAGTAGGAATGGGGTTGTCTATGACTTTTTTACCTGTTTATGGGACCCTTTTTCCTCCTACTGGGTTGCCAGGTCCAGCCTTGATATGAGGGTATGTGCCTAGTCTTATTGTAACTTGCTATGTAATGTTTGGTTGATATCCCTGGGAGACCTGCCCTTTTCTGAAGGGAAACGGAAGAGGAGTGGGTCTGGAGGAGGGAGGAGGTTAGGGGGAGGGAATGGGAGGAGTGGAAGGAGGGGAAACTATGGTCCAGATATAATATATGAGAGAAGAATAAACAAACAAACAAATAAATAAATAAATAGATTTAATAAAATCTATCGTGGAATCCTGGGCAAGATATTTTTGGTCTCTGTCTCTTATCTGTAAAGAGGGACTTCAGAAGACTGTCCCTCTAGTTCCTATGGCTTTCTCAATGATTGTGAGACAGTAAAGGTCTATACAGTCTTCTATTTTCACTCTCATAATGAGATGAGAGGCAACAGGCCATTTGAGCCCAGCTGATTTACAATTATGCCAATGAATGCCCCAAGTAATGTGATGATCTGTGAACCTGACCTTCCATCTTTGTGTCTGCCATAAGAAGTGATAACTCAGCATTTTCCCAAATACAGGAAGATAAACTAAATCTTCAAATGCAACAAAAGTACTCAGAATATAGACAACAGAGAGACACAAGTGTGTTCAGGAGCACAGGCATGCTTACACACACACACACACACACACACACACACACACACACACACACACACACACCAGGTTTGTGCAATGAGCATCATTAGGTCTTACAAACTTGAACAAGTAACTTATTTCAACATTTTACATCCCCACAGGCTGCAGGAGTGTATTAAAATCCTAACACTGGAATAACAGCAACACAAATCCCAGTTGTAAAATCACCTAGCAGGGAAGAAAAGTTAACTCAGCTAGAAATGATATCCAGGTTGAGCAAGAGAGAAACAACAATCCCTGGCCCTGGCCCTGGCCCTCAGAGGCTACTTTCTATTGACTGACTCATTGATTGATTTGCAATGCACACTGCATACCCCATGGGCTTCTGCCCAGCATTCAAAGAAATCCCTTCTTGTGCTTTAAGTGTTTGCAGGATACTGGACTGTCCCAAGATGGCCACCATCTGCCTTCTGCTAGAATCACTCTGAAAAGCAGAGATGCAAGGTTGTTCTGATCCCATGGTGTCACTACACTGCATTCTGCCCACCCCCCAGCCTTTCCACCCACCTCTGTCTGGGCCTGTCTCGCTTCTTTTAAGTTCCTCTTAGGATTCAGTAAGAACAGCCTCCATGATCCTCCCATAGGAGTCTATCTTACCATCCTCCTGCTGTGAAGCCAAGCCCACCCCCACTCCCTTCACTTTTGCTTTGTTTTTTTTTGTTTGTTTGTTTTGTTTTGTTTTTGTTTTTTTGTTTTTGAGACAGGGTTTCTCTGTGTAGTTTTTGATGCCTGTCCTGGACCTCACTCTGTAGATCAGGCTGGCCTCGAACTCACAGAGATCCACCTGGCTCTGCCTCCGGGGTGCTGGGATCAAAGGCGTGCTCCACTGCCGCCCAGCCACCTTGATTTCTGGCTGGAATGCTCAGCAAGGTTATCTATCCTCTTTGCACTCATCTTCATGCTCAAGTCTCAACCTGGAAAGAACCCTACTTGCAGTCCTTTGGGTTGAGTTGCTAAGTTCTAAGCATCACATTTATTAAGCTAAGCCCTTCCTGAGGGTACTCTAACACAGAGGACCAGTGCGAAGGGATAGAGCTGCTAGCATGATTATTAGAAGCCCGTTTCCAGGGACGACAGAAAACATTTGTAAGATTCTTAGGAAGACAGAAATGCAGGAACCGTAAGAAGTACAAAAGAGTTTTTAAGATTTTTTTTAACGTATTCACGGCATCCCTTAGTTCAAGCAGCATTTTAAGTACTAAAAGATTTTAATATATCTAGAGATCATGTAATGGTTTTAGCTGGGATTTATTTTTAATGGGTATTTATTCTTAAGGCAGGAAAATAATTCAAATGCAACAGGCAGAACTGACTTGGGAGTTTCTGAGGCCCAGTGTGCCTCCTCTGTGTGCACTCTCTTCCCAGAGCTCAGTGTGCCCCTCCCCCAGTTCTGGCTTGCTTACCTTCTCTCCCTGGGGTCCTGCCACACCAGGAGGTCCTGGTCTTCCCTGGAGGAAAGAAAGCAAAGGTGGATTATGCAAAGGTGGGCCCTGGGGAAGCACAGAGATGAGTGGAGAAGGGGATGTTCAGGAGAGTGCAGCTTGAATGGGGTGGGGGGTAGGGTGGGGGTGGAGTGGGGGGTGAAGGGTGGGGGGTGGCAATCCTTAGGAGCTCAGTTTCCCAACTCTAGACTTCCTGGCTTCTTTCCCTGCTGGGAAGTTCTTCCTCTGGAAATCTTATTCCCACATTACTGTGTTGCCATTTTTGGAATCATGCTGGTATTGCAACTGGACACCACAATCTGAGAAACCAGCACAAGGCCACCTTTTGCCTAAAGACGAGAGTGCCAGAGAGAGGACCTCACAAAAGGCAAAAGCACAAGCCACCCAGATCTGCCTTGGTCCAGAGGGCAGAGTCTGACAGAGCCCTTTGGAAATGCTTAGAGGTCTTGGGCCTGAATGGTCTTGAAATCAGAAAAGGGCAAGTGACTGCCGAGACTCAAGCCAGGATTAGGAAACTGCCATGGGAAACTAAGACCCAGAGAGGTAGCCTATGAGATGCCAAAGGTGTAGGGCTACTGTTCTTCAGGTCCTCGCAGTGCTTCCTTCTGACAGAAGCCAGCAGGAAAGAGTGAGCATGAATACCTGCTACAAGGGAGCAGAGGAGAGATCAGGACCTGGCCTTTAGGCTTGTGTGTTATGCTCCTTGGGAAATGAAAGGACTTGCAGGAGAGCTGGACAAGCCACGGCCACCCAGCGGGAGTGGAAGGCAAGGGGAAGTTATTGTCATCCATGGGAATGAGGTCCTCTCTGCCCAGCACTCACACTTCCTCCTGTTCTCAGTGGAAGTCCAACTAAGCCACCAGTCTCCAGTTTCCAGTTTCTCCTTCCAGAGCCTACGCCACAGATGCACTTTCTCATGAACGATTGTGTCTATGGTGGCACAGTCCACATTTCTTCATGGATTTCACCATTCCATCTCCTTTGTCCATATCAATACATCCTACTGTGCACAGCCCCATCTCCTTCATCTGCGCCAATGCATCCCGCTGCGCTCAACTCGTTCTTCTGGTTGAGCATCTGGGCTGCTTCTAATTGTTTCTTCTAGAGATGTGCTGCAGGCACTACCTCAGTATACCCACCCCTCTAAGCACGCGCATTACCTGTGGGCTTTACACTATGACAATATAGCCTATTACCCAAGGTATAATGGATAAAGCATTGTGTTTGCTGGAACCCCTGCAGTGTTGGGGCTTGCAGAATCAATACAGTTGAAGTCTGGGTCTTGCCCTACCCCCCACTGAGCAGGAAAGAAGGTGAGGTTGGTGCCAAGGTGCACTGGACCCTGAGGCAAAGAACATGGCCCGTCAGCCCCAGCACCCACAGACCTGCTCTCCCATCTCTCCAGGCTTCCCAGGGAATCCATCCAGGCCTCGCTCCCCCTGGTAAAGAAGGAAATTGAAGAAATGAAGAATGAATGAATAGCTACAAGGAAACAGCTGGCTAGACACCCTATGGTCACTGTCACAGAAAGGAAGGGCAGCCTAGATCTGAGTGTCCAAACACATCCAATCCCCCTCTCCATCAGGCTCTTCCACATACAGACCTAAGCACATCACACAGGACAGCTCTAGAGTAGAAGTTATTGGGGTCAAAGAGCAGAGATAAAACACTAGGGAAACTATAGATCTCTGTTTCCCTGTGTGGCCCAGGGATCAGTCTCCTCATCACATGAATCTTTATGTGAGTAAAAGAAACAGATATGTGGCATTTGTAACATACTTAGTAAAATGGTAGGCACACTGTGTGTATTATCCACTCATCCAGCAAATATGAATACTCACGAGGCTCCCTGCCCTTGGAATGGACCTAAGAACTAACCACTAGCTAAGAACATGCCAGCATCCACCCCATCTAGCTAATACCCATCCCATCTGCTCACATTCATGCGCAGTTGGTTTGAATCTTCTATTCAATGTAGTACCTTGGACAAGCATCCTTTCTGTACTTCCTGGGAATAATAATCCCTCCCTCAAGACACCAATGAATCAATGCGATATACCAGCCTTCTCTCTGCCACATGCTAGCTTGCTTTAGCTGAAGTCAATGGAAACCAGTGTGCTGTCTATGAGTGAGCTGATGTCTAGTGTCCTGAGCTGGAGTGCTCATCCAGAAGGGCTGCAGTGGCTCAGGTGAGGGAGAAAGGCAAACAGTCCGCTGTGGTCATTCATGCTAATATTAGGATAGTCTTGGGGTGCCTCAGCTGGCATGGCCTCTTTCTTTCTCATGGCTCAGCTCCAATTCACTGCCTTGATATCTTCAGCTAATTCGATGCCCCATTCTGCTCCAGGATGGACTCAATTTTCTCTGCTTCATCTCCCCTAATTCAATTTGCATTGATTATCCTATCTATAGGAAGACATAAGGCCTGGCCATCCTCTACAATATTGTGTCCCCTAGGCCCATCCTAGAATCCCATGGTACAGCTCTAGGTAACATTAACTGAGTTGCAGAAACACATGAAAGTTATTCTGGACTCTTCTGTTTCCCTGGGGCTCTATTTTTGGAATTGTTCTCCATTTCTTTCATTTTTTTTTTGTTTCATTTTCTTTTGTTTTGTTGTGGTGCCTCCTTCCAGAAGGTGGTTTTGGACATGTGAGTGAAGAGTCATGTCTGTCACTGACTTGTCTGAGGAGCTCAACTCTGTTGGCTACAGCCTACCTACCTCTGTGAATGCAGGGCAGGTGGGGCTTCCTCTAGGAGAAGGCTGCCTTGCTCCTATTCCCTCTGAGGACTGTTGGTTCACTGAGGAATGCTCCTCTCCGGGGCTGGGAGTAGGGCAAGCACTGATGCTTCTCCTACCCATGTGAAGTAGGAGGTATGGCAGAGCTGCCCAACAGAGCTTCCCAAGTGCTACATCCCAGCTAATCATGCACAGCTATCTTAGCACCCTCCTCCCGGAACCTACTGGCTTGAACTTGGGGGTTGTTCCAGCAGCTAGCTCTCTTACCATGCGAGGTGTAATTTCCTTTCATCTGCACCGTGCAAAATGTAGCCACCATGGGTGTTTTCTACTTTCTAGAAATGACTTAGTATGTCTTGAACATTGATTTTTACTTTACAGTACTATATGGTAATTCTTTCAGAAAGCCTCCTAATCACAGGAGGTTTGGGCCATGGAGAAAAGTGATGTCTGCATATTCTCTCTCTGCCCAAGGGTTCTGCACCTTTTCTTATGCATTACCTCCTTCTTATCCCCCCTCCCCGTTATGCTGGCCAGCTTGAGCACAAGTGAATGAGAAAACCAAGGCTCAGAGTTAAGAAGCTGTATGATCAAACTGATTGTGTATATGCAAGTGAAAACAATCCTTGGGCATCTTGACCCAAAATCCTCAGCCTATTTCCACTATCCCAAGGCCTGGGTAGGGTCTTCAGCGTAACATGCCAGGCTCCCTTTGGCTGCCTAGGCTCAGTGAGTTATAAGTCTTAGTGTCTATGGTGCCTCACTCCTCTCGTCTAGCTAGGGTTATGCCTGTATCCAAAGCCACTGAGATGAAATCATGAAAAATAGTAGAAACTCCTGATTTCCAGTGCAGAATGCTCTCCCTGCTAACTGTCACCTGGTACTTGGGCTCTCCCCAGAGTTCAGAGCAAAGGTGGGCCTGACAGCCAGACACAAATCTGTAAGTTCTGACTCAAAGCAGAAGGCTCTGCCTATGCCCTGGTCCTCCATTTATGTCTTCGCATCCAAAGCCCAAATTGAGTCAAGTCCAGAGCCCAGAGTTCTCCCAGATGTAGCTCAAACAGGGACAGATCAAAGATGAGGCAGACCTGGCTGGACACCTGGACCTTGTCAGCTCAGTCATCTGCATCATGTCTCAACAACAGATGCACCAGGCAGCAAGCAGGGATGGACGCAAACAGAGGAGCAGGGATGAGAACACAGAGGAGGGGAGCAGGGAGGGGGCTGACAGACGGGAGATAAGAGAGCCAGGCAGTGAGGCAGAGAGCAGGTCAAAGACAAGAAAGAAATGGGGAGATACAGAGACAGCAGGCAAGGGTACGAGAGCTCAGGAGGGAGTCACAGAGAGAAAGAGACAGAGGAAGATGGGGCCAAGGAGGCAGAGACAGACAGAACATATACAGGTAAGAAATAGGGTGAGAGAAATGCAGGCAAAGAGACAGACGGACAGGGGAGAGAGAACAAAGTGTGTGTGAGGGGGGTGCATGAACCGAACAGAGAGGCTGAGACAGAAATCCAGGCTGAATACAGGAAAGAGAAGATGGGAGGGGAAGAGAGGGGAGGAGAGGGGAAGGCAGGGAGGAAAAAAGGAGGATGGGAGGGAGTCAGGGGGAGGGACAAGAAAGACAGACAGACCAGACATGTTTGGTGAAATGGAAGGTACAAAAATAACACACTAAGAACAGTAGCCTTCGGGCTGGAGAGTTAACTCAGCAGTTAAGAACACTAGTTACTCTTGCAGAGGACCCAAGCTTGCTTCCCAGTAGCTACATGGCCCCTCACAACTGCTTATAACTCTAATCCCAAAGAATCTGAACCCTTTTCTGGATTCTAAGGGAGCTGAACATGTACACTACACACCTACAAACAGGCACTCCTAAGGTAAAAATAAATCTTTTAAAATATCCCTAGCCTTCCCACAGCAAAGACAAAGAGGAATTATGGGACATAGACCAACCTATTTTATGTGGCTCTATGACATGAACTAGGTACCTATGAGAAAATCTGTAGGATTGTGTCAGCATCTAGGCTGTGGATACACCAGGAAGGGGAGATTGGAAACTAGGTTTCACTACATTCCAAGTGGACCAAAAGAAAACCAAATTACTTCATGAAAACATCTCACGCCCGACTGAAGAAACACATGGGTAGGAAGAGAGAATGGGGTGCAGTCTGCTAGGGTGTCAAACCACATCTGAGCGAAGGGGGCAAGTTCCAGCTCTAAGAAGACTTGGATCTTGTCCAAATCTTAAGACACTGAAGCATGGGCTGGGAAAGAGGGCTCTGAGAGGGAGGGGGCCGGGATTTGCAGCCCTTGGCTTCCAGAGGAACACTGAACATACACAGCACTACACAGATGGAAGAAGCAAATAAGAACTAAGAAATTATATACAGTTCCATGTAAGATATGAGTCCCTGGTACTACTAGGCCTTTTTAGCACCAAGCTTCTGCCCATCGGTGCAGTTTGTTTTCATGGCATGAAATGAGCTAGCACATGCCCACCTGCCACACACATGTGCACACATGAACACACATACATGTGCATGCATACACACACACATACACACACACACACACACACACACACACACACACACACACACACACACTAGTGAAGAGGCCCCAGCATTCTCTCTCTCTCTCTCCAGTGCTCTCTCTCTGTCCTCGTAGTTCAAGGTATCTGGGATACCTTTCTCTCCAGAGATGAGCTGTCCCATTTGCAGGTCCAGCTGCCAGAGCTGTCCTAGCAGCTCAAGGTGTCACCTGACTCCCCAGTCAGGATACTTTTCCCCTGGAGTTGCAACACTCACCTACAGAAGTGGTATTAATCGGCCAGTATGGACTTTAAATACCTTTTCTCCTGGAGCTCCCCTTTGACCTCGTTCTCCTTGGAGACCCTGGGGAGAGAAAAAGCAATGACACCTCACAATGTGGCCTCCCTGTGCTCACTCACTCTCTGGAGGCCCCAGGAAAAACTTCATTGCACACAGGTCCATGGCATGGTGGAGAAGATCCTATCTTACTGTGTCATCCAACTACAATCACCAGGAAGCCTGAATTCCCTCCTCAACCTGGACCTTGAACCCAGTCACTTCCAGGTGTGCTCCTGAGATTGTTTCCCTGGCCTGGGCTATAGGTCCGCAAAGCTACATACAGGAACACATCTCAGCTCCCCTGATCAAAGGAAGACCCCTGCATCAGCCCCACAGCCACCTGGAACCTACTGTTCTGTTATCATCACTGATGCCAGGCAGGAGCTCCAACATGGACTCAGAAGCTCTAGTTCCCTTTATCAGCCTCTGCTCTACCTACCCCAGGGATAAAGCAGAGACTTGTGTCCATTTATCTTCTTCTAGAGCAGTACCTAGACCCTGTACTGTCCCTCCTTCTCCTCTTCTTTCATGGAGGAGGATCCTCATAGTATGCAGAAAAAGTGTGAAGCATAGAAGATACTTCCCAGACTGATACTGACTCCAGGGATAACATATAACATCTTTGATCTACAGAAGAGCATAAGTACCAAAGCCTTGAGATGCTCATTTAAGGAAAAGGGATCTGCAGACCACCCTGTTCCAAAGGGTGAGAGGACACAATAGCATCATAGTTGCATCTAACTACTGTGTCCATGCATATACAAGAGGGTCTTGAATATCCACAAGGCAATGCAGTTGTTGTGTTTAATAATATTTATATAGTTTCTTTAATTTGTAGATAATCTCAAATTCCTTTTACTGAGACTCAAAAATAATGGTTTAATGACCAAGAAAAAGACATTGTGCTCATTATTTGCCATAACTGAATATCGATCGTTCATCTCTTTAAACAAAGGACACTCTGATCCCTGTCCAGCATCTAGCCCTAGTATGGGAGCTGGGGATTCTCTAGACTCCACCTTCCTTCTGGGAGGAGACGACTGCATGTGAGTAAAAATGCCTTCCACAAGTATCATACACTCCAAGGCTCTGCCCTGCTTCATTAAGGAAAGGGACCCCAGGAATATGCATTTAAACTTGTTACTCTGGTGACTCATGAGTTTCATGGTATTTAAGAATTTCTACTCTAAGAGAAACTAAGTTTTCCTTAACATCCAACCAGCAACTGATAATGGTACAGACTGAGGTGAAAGGCAGGATGGAGAACCATCTCCTGACACCTGCAGAGAGGAACAGGGCCAGCTCCCAGACAAGTGTCTTTACTTACTGGAGTTCCAACTTGCCCTGCAGGTCCTGGCAGTCCAGGAGGTCCCTGAGGCCCCTGCAGAAGAGAGTCCACAAGGAAAGGTGGGATGAAAAAAACACAAGCACTTCTCAGCCAATGATCTTTCTAGAAGGATGCACTGCTTCTTATGTTAGTGTGTGACCCACACTGCCTGTACAGGGGTCTTCAGTAGACACTCCTTGACCTCTGCCTCATCATCCTTGGCTGTTCCTCCCACCTGATGCCTGGTGAAGCCCCAATCACAGGAAGGCATGCTGAACTTCAAGGAAAAGCTAAAAACATGGCCTCTGAGTCATTAGGAGCCCACAGGTAACAGTCCCTCTTCCGCTTGCCCCAAGTCCCCTAGCTTTCTCATGATCTGACCCAGTCAGGTTGGTGGCTTCTGAACCTGTGAAGCCAGCTGCTGTGGCTGAAGTTTTCAAGTAGCCACACGGTTTGTGCAGCCTGGGCAAGTCCTGTCAATGGGTCTACCAGAATTATGAACACAGCCTGGCTTAAGCAGAAAACTTCTACAGTCTGAGGACAACACATTTGTACATATCTATGAGAAATCTACTAGAATAAAAATAAATGGGCATTTCTTCTGTCAAAGCTATCCCAACTTTTGTAAACTACTCTACAGAAACAAAAATGTGGTACATGCCCCCCCCCACACACACATCTACATGCTTTAGTGCTTCACTGATTTTAGTTGAAAACAAAGAGAAGTAAGAAAGGATGCCCAAGGCCATGAGTATGTAAAAGTTATATACATTACAATGGCATCCAAACTACTGGCTACAAGGCACCAATTGAAGAGGACTAGCAAGCTCCATCTGAATTGGTGTGGAATGATCCCTCAAGTCTCTACTGCTATAGAGCATAATACATTTTTCAATTATATGATGCATTTCTGTAAGAATTCAGGAGGAATTATACTTGTGTAGACAGACGCCCAACTGTATGAAGTTACATGAGAAAGAAGCAGAAACCCACCCAAGCATCTCATGAATATCTAAAGCAACTGGTTTGCACCCCTGAGAACTGTCTGTACACTGAGAACATAAGCAGCTCTCAGCAATACTTACCCGCATGCCCACCTCTCCAGGCAGCCCTGGCTCTCCCAGCTCTCCTGGTTCCCCCTGTACAAAATCATCACAAGGTCACAGTCAGCATGATGATGCAGGCAGGCCCAGGCATCCCAAAGTGGCTGCAAGATGCCTGGGGTATCCATTCCCCATAGCCCAGAACTCATCAGAAGTAAGGTGTCTGCCAGTGATGAAGAGCTCAAATGGTAAAATCAGAACTTACTCTCATGCCTTTATTGCCATCTCTTCCAGGTGGTCCAGGTGGGCCCATGGATCCCTAAAAGGAGAGAAAGAGAATACCAGATGGTACAGGATAAAGACAGCAAAAGGGTAGTGAGAAAGCATCAAGCAGGAGGAGGAGGCTGGACCAAGAAAATCATGAGTGACCCTGTAGCCTCAAATATGCTCTGTTTACCACAGTTCTCCATGCCATCTTTGCCTATAGAACCTTTTCACGGGCATACAAAGAGACAGCAGTGACCCAGAGCACAGAGGGAGGTGGCCATCAGCCCCTGGGAACCTGGAGAAGAAACCTGAGTCACATACAGAATACACAAAGGTGTTTGCTGGTGAATGGTGGCAACGCCCAGGCCACTGTGGCCGCCTTCTCTTTCACCATGGGCTCAGAAGAGTTTGAGGATCAGTCACACGTGTGGAATGAAAAGAGGAAGCTAAGACAGTATTTGATCAGTAGCTCTTATATCTATCCAGGATCTGGGGAAAGAAGAGACATTTTATTGATTTCCTGGTCTGTTTGTCCATCCTTTCTAGTACAATAAGGCACAGATCTAACTGGGGAAGTTCCCCAAGAGGAAGGATTGCTCTGAGTGAACAATGTTTCTGTGGTCAGTCATTTGGTAGGACACAGGGGTCTCTATGGGGTCCTTTTGGGTCAGACTGTCATAATCATCTTCCCTGGGGGAGTGCCACCATGGTAAGGTCTCCTTGGTTTCCATTCACCCATCAGCAAACTGGGGAGAAAACACCTTGTCTGGCTCTCCAGGGATAGGAAGGGCTCGTCACTTCAGGTAGAGGTGAGTCCTGAAGAGACTGAGCATTGACTGAATGCAAATACTTACTGGCATAATTGGGTCTGTCAGGGAAGAGTCAACAGTGATAATAGAGCCATAACAATTATTTTTTGAGCCATAACAATTATGACTAAAGAAACGGCAAAGATGCTGCAACCCTGGCTTCATCGTTATTGCATGTTTACCATGAGCTTAGCACCAGGTGCTCTGCAGTCATCTCTAAATGCAACTCATCCCCACAATCAACGTTTATCCCCAATTCACTTAGCTCAGATGTGGGAGCCCAGGTGGGAGACCAGCTCCCACATTTTACCCCAGAGTACTCTTGAGGAGGGATAAGAGATTTAGATAGAAGGATAGAGGGGAGAGAATCAGAAACACAGGACAGCCTCGGGAGGGCCTGGATCCTTTACTGGCCCCTCCTGTCTCTTCTAAAGGGCTATTTGTAGGAATGCCAAGGGGTGGAGCAAAGACCTCCCTCTAGCTCAGCCAAGTGTAGACCCTTCCAATCACCTAATAACCATGCACATGGTCAACCAAGCCTCTAATCAGCTCTGCTGGGTAAAGCAAGCTCAGTTCTCACTAGGAAACCTTTGTGGGCCTCCACAGTCATAAAATGAAAGCACAGGAAGGTGAACTGCTTTGCCTAAAGCCACAACGTTTACTGTGGAAAGCTTGACTGGGGGCCCCAGAGAATGTCTTTTCACCTCTGCCACAGCTTCTGGACACACATCAGTTTAGTGATGCTTTATGATCCTATAGAGAGAGACCAATGCTGTCATCATGGAGCATAGGATGGTCTCTCAGGACCACTCAGGAGCCCACATGGCAAGATTAGACAAGTTGGAGGAGTTAATGCCTGAGGATGCCATCATAGCTCCCCTCTCCAGGAACCATGCTCTCCTCCTTCAGCCTCAGCAAATCCAACTGCACTAGAAATTATTGCAGTCTCTTTATATCATGGGAGCTAGAACATCAGCACAGGGCCAAGATTCCAAAACAGTGGTCAAGTACAGGGAAAGATCAAACCCCATATGTTCTACCTGATTCCAAAGCACATGTTCCAGATCCCCTTTTTCACTGCTCATCCATTGGAAGTATCCCAGCCTCCTTAACTCTATATCCTTCTATCCTAAAGAGTTAAGTCCAAGGTTTTCCAAAAGAAAAACATCTCAAAAGAATAATTACTTCCTCTGAGGAATTTCCCCCTAGAGTGTGTCACTCAGAATGAGGTCTATCTGGGTACTTGGTGCAGAGTTCTCCGGACACACTGGTGACCCACTTGAAATAGCACGTTCTTTGGAAGGCCAGTCTGTCTTCTGGCTCCTATAGGTTTGGCTATCCTGCAGCTGGAAGCAGGGATGAGGTGTCAGATGGGCTCCTGCCTTGAGAATAAAAGTAAGGACAGCGGGGCACAATTAGTTCAAGGGGCGTCTAATAAAGGGGGTAAGGGGTGTGACCAGTGACAATGTCAAAGAGAACTCTGGGGAGTTCCGGAACTTTGCCTGTCCTCACAGTTGTCTCTTTTCTAGCTTGTTCTCTTGCAGGGACACCAAGAGGAGGCCCTTGCAGTCTGGGCCCTACATTATCTGGGAAATCTGAGTCGAGGACACAAGGGAACATGGCACCAGTTCCTGACATGGCCCAAGGGCTCTGCAGATGTTCCCTGGGCACCAATCCTTTCTAGATCCCTTTGGCTTTGAAGGGAAGGTCATGATGGACCCCTGTTCCAAAATGAGGCTTGGCCATATGGCCCACCTGAGCACAGTGAACAGCCCAGTGTAGCAGAAAGAGAATGGTCTCAAGAACTGGCACACTGCAGCTTTAAGCTCCCCCACATCTCTTAGTCTTGATGGCCTAAGGCAGGCTAGTGACAAGCTCTGATGTATCATTGGGGAATCGACACCTAGCATGAGAAGCTGGACGGTCCAAGGCAATGGACAGCTTAGTTTTAGATGACTGTGTAACAGAACTGACCCCATAATGATTTGATAAAAGCATGGGCTACCGCTTTGTATAATAAATACTGAAGGATGATTTTCTAAGTCAGACAATGTAACAACTCCCCCCACTCTACTCTATTACTCTCTCTCTGTCTCAATCTCTCATATAAATGTATACATTATAAATTTTATTTTTTTTCATATTAAAATATATAATTTTTCCTTTTCTCTTTCCTCTCTCCAGCCTGTCCCATGTACACCACGTCACTCATCTTGCTCTCTCTCTCAAATTTATGGCCTCTGTTTCTTTGTTACATAAATGGGTATGTATGTATTCGTGTGTGTGTGTGTGTGTGTGTGTGTGTGTGTGTGTGTACACACGATTTCACGGCTGATGAGTTGGGATGCTCTTCTCTGAGGACACCACTTTCTCCCACTGTCAGAATTCCTTAGTGGCCTATCGTTCTTTGCTCAGGGTTGGGGCCCTGTAAGATTTCTCCCTTCCATGTTAGCCTGTCTACTAGGTTTGTCCTTGTTTAGGCCTTGCTCAGGCAGCCAATATGATCAGACTTCATGAGTGCAACTTCTCTGACATTTCTAAAAGATGCAATCTCACAGCAAACATATAGGTAGCACTAACTGCATATGGGTAGCACTAATTGGACTCAGTGAGTTAAAATGAAATGAAGAATGAATGAATGAATGAATGAATGAATGAATGAATGAATGAATGAATGAATGAGGGAGAAGAAGATGTAATAGGGTTCTGGGAGAAGTGGATATGAACTACATATACTATATGCATATACAAAATTTTCAAAGAGTAAATTAAAATTTGCCCCATCCCTGGTCTTTGGTTGTAGCATCAGTACTGAACTAAAAAAAGGTTCCTCCTGTGCCTTGATTGACTTCATCCACTGCAGAAGGCATGATACAGGGAGGAATCCTGTTTCTGGTCCAAGAGTGGCCAGGAAATGCTTTCAAGGCAGGGAACTTCAAAACAAGCAAGGTGCTGCTGTCATTTCATTTATGAAAGGGAACTCATTGCTTGGTCTGTTAGAAAAATTGCAAATTGATAATGCACATGCACCCATTGCAAGAAAACAATGAAGGCTGCTGGGAGAGGTATCTTCCCAGTTCCATGCCTGAAATTCTTACTCAAATTTTTAGTTTTGATTCCAAGTCCAGACTTGGACTCCTCTGCCCCATGTGACTGTCTCCAGGATTCCATTGGGAGACAAACAGAAGACAACATCTAGCAGGACATTACTCATATACCTACACCCACTTGTCAGTATCCAGAGCCTTGGGGAATTTTCAGTACTTCATTGACCAGATGTAATTACTAAACAGCAGATGTCTCTTGCTCTCTTGGAGAGCTGACTGCCATGGCTCATTTCTAAGTGTCCTCAGATGGAGGAACTGTGCCAATGTGATTCTTCATCTATTTGGCAGCAAGCATGCCAAGAAGACCCTCCAAGAAAAGTATCAGGAACTTTCTAGACAGTGGCCCTCAAAGTGAGAGGATCCTGGGCCAGCACTAACAGTATTGCCTGGAACCTTATTAGACAGACATGTTCCCTCACCCATGGCAGTCTTAATGAATGAGATACTCCAGGATCTAGCCAGTTGATTTAATAGATCTTCCAGGTTGTTCATTCGCTGGCTCAAGTGTGAGAAGTACTTCTCAGCACAGACAAATACAGACTATGGAGCCAGACAACATGATCTCAAACCCAACCTCGACCACATATGCTGGTACAATCACCAGTTCCCAGATCCACTGTAAAAAGAATGTCCAGCCCCAAAGTTAAGCTAAAGAGCAGGGCAAGACTCCTGGGAGGGAGGGAGTGCTTCTAAACTCTTGATGCTGCTATTACTCTTAGATGCCATGTGAATTTTAGGTGAACTGAAAAAACGACTGGACCTCTACACTGGCACCTGTGAGATACTTTCAGTGAACACTCCCTCAGATGCCTGTAGTCTTAGAGGCTGCAGAACTCCTCCTTGAGGGGAGGACACAGGAGAACTCTGACATTCTGCAGCTGCTAACCTCTGGGGACAAGAACTTATTAGCGATGAGGGTGCAAAAGATGTCATTTGGAATTAAAAACGGAGTACTGCTGGTGCTAAGAGTAATTATACGTAATGCATGAACTCTTTCCACAAATGTGAGTCATTTATTTTAGTTATTAGTTCATCTAATCCTTGCAAAAACCCATATGGTTCTGGTATTACTATATTTGCCAAACCACAGAGGTGGAAAGCCAGGACTGCAGAGGTGAAGTCATGGTCCCTGGCCATGCAGCTGTTAAGTGGCTGAGCTAAGGTCTGGACCAGTAAACCAGCACCTAGGGTCCTCCCACTTAGCCTTGCTTGATACAGTCTAGCAATCCAACATTCACCTCGCCCATGTAGGCTCTCAACCTCTGGTTTGAAGCACTTGACCTCTTGATCTGACGGGCACCTGTGTGTCAGATGAAGGGAAAAAGAAAATTGATGACTTCCTCTATTCCATTTCAGCCCTGGGCTCGGAGATGCTTCAAAAAACCAAGTATCTTCCAAGGTGTCCTTCAGCACCACAGACAGTTCCTACAGAGCCTGTTTATTCTTTCAGTACTGCCCTCAGCCTCCAAGGCTTTGTGAAGATTACAAACAACCAAACTAATTTCCCCCTAAATCCTTTAATTTTTGTACAAGCAGGAGAAACTTAGCCATAGTTACCCAACTCAATAGCAATATAATGCACATTAATGCGTAGGCACAAGCCAGGAGCTTTGGGTGCTGAACCAACCAGCTAAGAACAGAGCAAGAAGTAGACAACACAGATGTACAAAGGTTCAAAGCTGATATGTGTAAACACAAATGTCACTTGTATCTTCCTGTTCAAAAGCTCTACAATGAAATCTGTATATAAAACAAGCTGGTTTACATACAGAACAGTTTTGAGGGTCGAGAATTCCTAGATACCAGCATTACATTTAGAAAGGGACAGAATGGCCATGTATGTATCAGGGATCCCCAGCCTCACTACAGTTACTGACCGACTCTATGATCTTGGATACAGTCCATCCTCCTTCAGAATGTTTGAAAACTAAACACTGGATTGTATGAAAAGGCCAAGCAAGGGCTGATGTCATGAGTTTGACCATTGCACGCTACTGTCCAATCAGCACTCTAGACAAAACCATCAGCATTGGTCAATGGATCTACATAGAGGCCATAGCTGACACCTTCTGCTTCCAAAAAGAAGCCACAAACTAAAGATGTAATCATGAGTCCTTTCTATCGCCCATGATTCTCCTTTCTCAGATACCCCTTGTCTCCACCCAGGTGGAGAACGTAGAAACAGTAGGCTGTTTCAAACTGTCCTGCATGCTGCAGGTCCAAGGTCAAGACATGAGTAGATTCACTGTCTGGTGAGGGCCACCCATTGGTCCCTCGAGGACAGTTTCTTGCTTAGGCATGTGTAAGGGGTAAGAGGGTCTCCCTTGGGGCCCTCTCATAAGGACACAGATTCCACTCATAAAGTTTCTATTCTTACAACTTTATCACATTTCAAATACCCAAATTATAATACTACTGCAGGCAGATGGGGATTTCGAAATGTGAGATTTTGAGGAAGCATATATCCAAACATGATGTCTCTGGTATGACTAAGTAATGTATGATTTTGGAATCTCATCTCTGGCCACTATTCTAGAAGGGAGGCACACAGATCATCCACACATGGTAGGGCTCTGTTTTCATTTCCCACTCCACTCAGCAGCCTTTCTTCTCCCATGAACTCTTCTCATTTTGAAGTTTCAAAGAGGGCCTGCTTCCACAAGACTCTGAGAGTGACTGCATCAGGCTAAAAGGGCCCATTCTTACAATGTGGATGGCTCAAGGTGGGTGTGGCATGTTGGGATCAGAGAAGTAACAGTATGAGCACAGACCTACATATCACCTGTATGATCCCCTTTAATCATAGCAGGGTCAAGTGAGAATGCCCTTTTAGATACTGGCTGTCCTATTAGCCACACCATGATAACAATGGTCTCTGTTTGAGGATGAGAATTGTATTGTGTTATTGTGTACACACACACACACACACAATTGCATTCAGAGCCTCAGGTATGTTAGGCAAGTTCACTGATCTCATATATATATATATATATATCAGAGTCTAGCAAAGTTACTCAAGCTAGTTTGAACCTGCCATACTCCTGACTTAGCTTTCCAAGCAGCTGTGATTACTTGCCTGCATGCCCAAGACTGTTTCCGATATTTCTTTTTCCCTAGACACCTATCCTAGCTCTGCCCACCCACCTTTACTCGTAAGCGGAGGTACTGCAGTAATCACTCTTCCTACCCTCCATAACTTGGGTTATGTATATTTTACAGAATGCTTTGAAAAGTGACGAAATACTCTATTTCTGGCCATTTTTTCTTTTCCTAGTCATGATCTTACAGTGTAGGATTTGATTAAATTATTCATGTGCATGGCTACTTTTTCATGATGTGTGTCCCCCCCCACATCATCATTTGTTTCTAGTTGCATATGTCAACTATTCATACATGTTTCTCTTATAGAGTCTATGTGGGTATGTAAACATGCATTTCATGATGCTTCTCAGAAGGGAAAAGTTTCCCCAGAAGGGAAGGCACTAAATAAAGATGGGATCTCCCTAAACACCTCATTCATATTTTCATAGATCAGATCCTGTGCGACATAATCAGCCCTATTCAAGGAGCTGACAGGACCCATCCCAAGGCATAGCAGCACAGGATCTGTCCCCATAAGAGCCAGTGCTCCAATAACGTCAGTGACACACATGTACGCCATGAAGTCTCTCGGATGCCTCTCCAGGGGAATTGCATCAGTTTGAGCCTGTTCATAACACACTCAGAGTCACTAGTAATATGTCAGGTGTTGCATTAAGGAAAAGAAAATCATTTCCCCTTAGCATAATTTAACTGAGAGCAAGCAAGCCCATATTTGACTCCTCTGCTTCTCTCTCCCTGTGTCTACTGCCATTCCCTGTCAGTTGTATGAATCTGAATCTATGCCAGCCAGAATGCTGACTAGGGAATCTGTCTGTGTGCCTAGTAAAGGGCTTGGCTTTGCACAGAAAGCAACCCTGGGGTAGGAATGATACACTGTAGCAAAATCTTAAACAGTGTTTTACAAGGGATGACATTACTGACTCCAACTAGCCCCCAAGTGACCCAGATAAACATCAAGCTAGTGCTATCAGCAATGTCTGTATGTTGTCTTAACCACTATGGATATTCATTTTATATGGTTTATTTCTATGTGTTTGCTGTTTCCCACATTGATTACCATAACGTGCACACACAAATGAACTACTCTAGGTTAGGAGTATAGAGGGAAAGGAGTGTCTAACTTAAGATTACAGCTATGTACTAGTTTAGGTTGTAAAACTGATTCTATGGGAAATTCAAAGCAAGTAAAGTCATGTTCTCTTAAAGGCAGGCTAAACAAACACACTGATTACAAAACAGGATGTCCTGCCTGGTGGCCCTCACACAGTTTCTCTGGCTCCGTCTCCATTCTGCTGAGTAGCAGAAGTTACTCTCTGCCCTAAGCCCAGTAAGCCAGCTTCATCTGAAGCAAGCCCTCTTCCTGCTCTATGCACTACTGGGGTGGCCAGTATTCAGTGATCTCAAGGTGTATTAAGTTAGGCTGTGAAGTCCAGCAAAAGCTCCAGGCCTCTACTTCTCAAACACTGCTCCAGTGGACTGTTCTGTGGGTCCCCAAGACATTCGGTCCCTGCTTCCCACTTCTCTCGACCACCATTTCCTGTCTCTATCTCCTCTCTCTTCCTGCTGTATCTGCATTTGCTTCTTCCACCCAACTCAGGGGACACATGGAACCCAGGCCTGCAGCCAGGGTCCTTTTTCTCCCCCACTCAAATCCACAGAAGGTAACATAGTTACACACACCTCCCACAAATCCACAACTGAGCCCTGGAAAAAAGCAATAAATGCAGGCTCACCTTCTCACCCTTTTCTCCTTGAAAGAAGGGTCCTCTCCCCTAGAGAAGGAAAGCAGAAGATACAGGTTTACTGAGGGGGCATCTATGTAGTGTGGCATCACCCCCAGGATTCAAGCAATTGGATACTATCTCATCAACTAGGCCTGGGCACCTCTGAAAGAGATGGTGCTGTTATTCATTGAATGTGGATTCTCATGAGTGCCCTCTAATTTAATTTTCCAATAATTTATCATTATAGATACTTGTTTTCATAACAGACTTATTGGGCTATAATTTTCACACTATATAATTCACCTGTTTAAAGCATCTAATTAGTAATTTTAATTTCCTTAGAGTTATACAACAATAATCATAATCAATTTCAGAATATCTTCACTATTTGCAAAAGAGCCCAGCCCACTAGCAGCTGCTCCCCACTTCCCATCCCCAGCCCTAAACAAACACTAATCTGTTTTCTATTGTAAGTATAAGGTGTAATAATGTTCCCCTTAATGACTACCTCCTCTCACTCAGCAAAGTCTTCTAAAGGCTCATCCATGATGTACCCCATAGCATAACTTCCTCTGTTGTACACTCATATGGGAATGTACTGACCCAGCACACTTTATTTATTCATACTTTATACAATGGCCAGAAGTTGTGACTACTTTATTATTAAAAGAATAGCACTCTGAATGTGTATACGTGTTTTTATGTGAATATGTGCTTGGGTTTCTTTGGGGAGGGACTGTATTGCATAGTAACTCCATTTTTAGGCCTTCAAGAACTACAAGACTGTTCACCCAGAGGCTGCACAATTCCTCAGCAGCAATGTGGGAAGACTCCCATTTTGCTACATTTCTGGCTGCTCTAGCTTTCCTTGGGAGTGAAATGTGCAAGGCTGTAGCTATTGCTGTGAAGGTGTTGATTTCTCCTTTGAATTCTATCAATTGTATGTCATGCATCTTGAGGCTCTGTTGTTGGTTGCTTGTGTTCATTGTTATATACCTTAAAGAAACCTTGAAAACTGACCCCTCTATCATAAAGTATCTCTTTTTATGAACTGTTATATTCTAAAGTCCATTTTGTCTGATAATAGTATGAACATTGTCATTTTTTTTCTAATTTCAAAATGTATATTTTCAATCCTTTCTCATTGTGTGTGTGTGATATTTGTGTATGTGTGTCTGTGTGTCTGTGTGTGTGTGTGTGTGTGTGTGTGTGTGTGTGTGTGTGAGTGTGCATGCATGCACACTTGCTGAGGATAGGACTCAGGGTCTTGTGTCGGCTAGACAAGCGCTCTACGACTGAACCACATTCCCAGTCCCCTATTTGTATTCTTGAATGTCACGTATATCTCCTCTAGACAGGACAGTGTTAAGACATTTCTATACCCTGTCTGAAAGTCTGCTTTTTAGTTGGTCTGTTTAATACATTTGTCAATAATGCAATTATTGAAAAAAGTAGATTTATATCCATTAGAATAAGGATGTGGGATGCGATGGCCAGAGTGAAGAGAACACTTACAAAATGGCCAATTTCAGGTATCACAGGGGTACCACTTTGGAAGAACAGAATTCTGGGGATAGACAGAGTGAGGCACAAGGCTAAAGAATACTATGACCATGTCTAGCAGGTCGTTCTTCCTGGTGGAAAAAAGAGGTGCTTTGTCCCTTGGCTTGGATTCACTCAGTACCTGCATTCACCAGACCTTCAGCCCACACTTGCTGATCAATATGATCAGGTTGGGGTGAATGGGGGAGCTCTGGGCCTCCCACACCAGCCATGAGGCCCATCAATACAGAAAAGCAACAGCTTACTTACAGTGTCTCCTTTCTCTCCCTTGGGCCCTGGAGCACCTGTCAGTCCAATGGGTCCTGAATCTCCCTGAAGGGTTAAAAGCAAAATGAACATTAGGTCAGATCCCCCACAACAGCTCTCCTGGACTTCTGCACTCACAGGCTGCCCTCAGCCAACCTTGCCCCTGTTCGCCAGAACTGAAATCATCCTGGGTGACCGCATCATGAGGTCATCTTGGAAGAGAAAGAAGAATCTAAGTCCTATTTCCCTCACATTTTTTGAATTTGTTCATAAATCACTGTGCCCTGCCAGACCCAGGTCTTTGAGTACAGAGCTTTTGTGTGAATGTTAAAACACTCCTTTATCATGGTGCCAACCCAGTGCTGAGAAAGTGTGCACCAATACCATGGTGTTTAAATCACAAACCAAGACAGACACAGTAAGAATGAGAGAGGCCAAGGTTGGGAAGGAGAAGGGAGGTGGTATGGAGAGGACTGTAGTATTCAGAGATGATAAAAAGAACTCTGCACATAAAAGAAGACAGAAGCAGGGGGAATGAAGAGGTGCAGCTGTCCCCATTTCTCTACCTTCACCCTTAGCCCCAGACAAGGTATTAGTTGTGCAAAAGTGGAGCCCCACCCCCACACCATGCAGTGACCATTATTGTTGGAACATTCTACCCATCAATGTTTGAAGACCAAAAGAGTGATGGAGAAGGCTGCATGTTGGAGAATGAGGGAGACATAGGAGGCAGCTTGTGACCAAAGACAGAGGACCGTACGGTAGTAGCACCTTGCTTTATGCAACCACCGAGTTTACAAACTTTGTACACAAGAAATTTATACAGTGTATACGATTTAAATAACTCCTAAAGGTCAAGTCTTAAATGCTTCTTGAATTTGCATTTGCAAATTCAACTCGCAAGGACTGATGCGGCATTAACTGCCTTTGGAGAGTAGAGCCTCTTTGGAGCACACATGTGGGCTTGGGCAACCCTGCCCTTCTTTCTATAAACTTTTAGGCTGAGAGGTACAACTCTGGGCAGGGCAGAGTCTCGCAGCTTGAACCTCATGCCACTTGCTCTTCTTGTAGCATCTTAACAAGATCCAAGGCAACTCTGAGGCTGGTGAGACAATGATCTAACACACTCCTGCCGTGCTTCCGTGGAGGTTAAAGCAAAGAGCACTATGCCATGCAGGTACTGACCTTCTGACCAGGGAGTCCCACAGGGCCAGCAAAGCCCCTTTCACCCTGCAGGAAAGAAGACAAAAATAAACAGTAAAGGTGATATATTAATTCTCCCCATCTCTCAAAGGAGCTAACTGATCACTCCCTGGGCTCTAAAACTAGTCATATGCTAAGCCAGGTTGGTCAGAGAGTTGAGCAGGAAACTGCTGACTTCAGCTGAGAGTCCTGTTCTCCAACTGCAAACCTGCATGCACAACTTTCACCGCAACCTCCCAGTGCAGCCACTGGAGGGTCAAAGCTATAAACACACCCAGGCACAGAAAGGGGAACAGTCCATGTTCTCATTCATACATGGGAGCTAAAGACGTCACACAAATCAGAGAGTAGAACAAGGATTCCAGGCTGGGAAGTCAGGGAATGGAGAGGGCACTGGTCAGAAGGGTCAAATTTCATTCAGATGGGAATAAATTATAGGTATTTGAGGTGACTGGTGTGTTCTTTATCTTGACCCACCATTTCAAAAGCAAGAGGCACATTAGAGCATCAGTTTTTACCTTATAAATAAATGATATGATTGATCAATAGACAATATAAATTAACAAAAACGAAGTAATTTTATGGGCTCTTATTTTATCTGAATGTATAACTTAGAAAGAAAATTGTGATTTCTATTATTATCAATTTGTGTAATGATTTTTTTTTTTACTAAAATACAAAGTATGACATGTATAAAGCAATTTCTAAACACAAGCTGCATTCCGATTTTAAAATGTGTGAAAGATCTTGTTGGTGTGTTATACATGATCTGTGTGCTGTGGCCACCTGTAATATTGCCAAGCCAAGAACAAACACACAATTCTTGTGTTACATAACTAAAGATATCACCATATTACTGGGCCATTTGCACCTGATTCCATCCCTAACAATAATATTTTCTCCCTTGTTCTAGTTTGCATTTCTGTTGCTATAATAAACACTCTGATTTAAAAAAAAAAAAAAACTTGGAGAGGAAAATGTTTATTTCACATTGCACTTCCAGGTCACAGTCCATCCATGTGGGAAGTCAGGGAAAGAACACAAGCCAGGAACCTGAAGCCAGTAACTAAAGCAGAGACCATGAAGAGATGCAGCTTGCTCCTTCTGGACTCTCCTTCACTATGACTTACTCAGCTTTCTTTTTTGAAAAAAGAAAAAAAAAGACATATTTATTTATTTTGCACGAGTATTTTGCCTGCAGGTGTGTCTGTGTACCACATGTGTACCTACAGAAGCCAGAAGAGGGCATCAGCCACGCTAGGATTGGAGTTATAGATGGTTGTGAGCCACTACAAGGATGCTGAGAATCAAACTTCCTCTGGAAGACCAGTCTGTGCTCTTAAACACTGAGCTACCTCTCCAGCCCTTTGACTTCCTTTCTTATACAGTCCAGATCCAACTGCCTAGGGATGATGCAGCCTGTAGTGGGCTGGGCCCTCCCACATCAACCATAAATCAACATCAATCATCAGTCAAGACATTGTCCCACATACATGCTCAAAGGCCAATCTGACTGAGGCTATTCCTCAACTGAGGTCCCTCTTTAAAAGTGACAATAAAGACTAACTGGTATAACTCTATCCATGGGTGCCCATTTACTTCAGAGTAATCACAGGTGTCCTCAGCATATGCCAATGAGTATAAATACTTATGTGCACTGAGGACCTCCTATAGTGCCCATCAGAATGCATTAGACACTACTCATGTCCATCACTATGACTGATTACAGAGATGTAAATGGGGACCCCAAAGGATATTTGACATGACTGATTAATTGAAATGAAAGACTTCAACAGCTGGAAACAAAGTGTCTATAGCCAGAGTTCGGCCCCATGAAGAAGATTGTGATTTCCTGGGCCTCATGCTGAGTTTTTATAGACACACAGATGCAGGAAGCAGGGGCCACACCAACTTCACAGGTGGGCTGGTAGCTGCTCCATTTGGCCTATTTTCCATGCAGAGTAAGTAGGTCTTCTTGTTCACCTGTTCCTGTGAAGATACTTAGCTCCCTAGGACGGTCCAGGTCTCAGAGTTCTGTCTCCCTAACCAGACAGTAGACTATGACTTGCAAGGGTCATATCCTGCTTGTCTTTAAAATCTCAGTGTGCAATACAGTGTAAAGGACATTGCAGGTGTTTACAGTCTATGGACAAAAACTAGGACTGATGACTTGGAGAAAAAAGTATAGGTTATCAGGTGATGGCACACAGAGTATGAGGCCAAGACTGAAAAGTTCAATTGGTAGAACCTCATTCTGAGAAGGGGACAAGAGGATGTGTGCCTTTCTCCCTCACCCCCATCTGTCCATCTTCCTATTCCCATCTTTTTAGACTCTATCTACTCATCAAGTCAACCCCTATATAAGGAGCTGCATCTGTGTCCAAATGTGAAGCAGCTCCCAAAACACAGACACTATTCAATCTCTGTTAACTGGAACTTAGGATTGTACTGAAGAAAAAATCAAGGAAATATTATCAGCAGAGTGTGGCCATGGTTGTCGTATACTGAAGCCTCGGGAGAAAAAAAAAAGAGGGGGGGGGGGCTTTTCTTAGAAAAGCATATTGTGGAATGTTATTTTAGTTAGGCAAAAATGTGTTACATTTATATTATGCTACAGAATATTACTTTAACTATGTGATGGTGTGTTACATTCATTTCTGCTGCCTTTGCTAATGATGTAAAGACATGCTTCATTTGGTAGTGCTGCATCTATTTAATTATGTAAAGATGTGCTGCATTTGTTTCACCTTGCCTGCCTTAAGGCACCTGATCGGTCTAATAAAAAAGCTGAATGGCCAATAGCTAGGCAGGAGAGGGACAGGCAGGGCTGGTGGGGCAGAGAGAATAAGGAGGAGAAATCTAGGCTTGGGAGAGAAAAGAAGGAGAAGAAAACCAGGGACAAAGAGAAAGACATGCCTGGGGCCAGAAGCCAGGCAGCCACCAGCCAGCCACACACAAGAAGCAAGAAAGTAGGATACACAAGAAAAAGAGAGAGAGGGAGAGAGGGAGGGGGAGAGAAGGGGAGAGAGAGGAAGGAAGGAAGGAGAAAAGGAAAAGGAAAGAAAAGTAAAAAGCCCAGAGCCAAAACATAGATAAACAGATTAAAATAAGAGCTAAGATAAGGCCGAGCATTCATAACTGATAAGAAATCTCAGTGTCTTGATTTGGGAGCTGGTTAGTGGCCCAAAGGAAGAAGCCTGCTACAAAAGAGGGCTCTGGATAGTTATCATATGGGGGTGAATGACAGGGGAGAAAAGAAAACATGGAGGAAAATCATAAGGCCAACTGCTCAGCAAAGGGTCATTGCTCATGCTTCAGAAGAGCCACTGGCAGCCAGGGAGAGCTAGCTACTCAAGGAAAGGAAAAGATGTTTCATGCAGAAGGTGCTGTGTCCTCAAGTGGCCAAAGGTGAGAGACAGTAGTGCCCCTACAAGAAACTGGCAGTATTGACCTGGAAACTGTCTGGGAGACAGATTGAGACACGAGATTAGAAGCGCTGTGGATGTGGCATGGGGTCACACAAGGGTGGAAGTAGGGAAGAGGTACCCATGCCGAGGAGGTCAGTGCACAGCCAGGTGCCAGTGAAGAACACAGCAGTAAGATGAGTGGCAAAGGAAGAGGATGCCTCTTGGGATTCCCAGCAGTGACCACACAAGCCTCCATGAAACCCACTCAGACACAGGCCTGGAGCCAAGGAGAAGCACTGGCCTGGGGAGGGTGGGTTTGAGTTGCACTTGTCTGTGAACAGCGGCAGGAGAACAAAATCTCTCCACATCCTTTCCCACTGGAGCTCTAACTGAAAGTGATATTCAGGAGAATGTGGGTTTTGACAGCTGCCTCTCTGAGGCTTCAATGGCATGTGGAAGAGATTTGTTCACAGGCTGAGGCAGCCTGAGCCTGCAGCTGGAAGACCAGCTACCCAGTCTGAGTGTGTCGATCCTATCCTCTTCTTCTGTCTGCTTCTTCCCTAACCTAGACACTGGGTATGGGGCATTGTAGTTGGTTTTTCACTCTTTTTTGGCTCTTTGTTCTTTGGGGGGGGGCACCACCCAGCTCCCAAATAAATCACACACGGAGACTTATTCTTACTTATGACTGCCCAGCCTTAGCTTATCTTGTTTCTTGCCAGCTTTTCTGAACTTTAAATTATCCCATCTACCTTTTGCCTCTGGACTTTTTCCTTTTCTTTCTTCTGTATATCTTACTTTCACTCTTACTCCATGGCTGGCTGTGTGGCTGGATGGCTGGCCCCTGGCATCCTCCTCTCCTTGTTCTTGCTCCTCCTTTCCAAATTTCTCCTCCTATTTGTTCTCTCTGCCTGCCAGCCCTGCCTATCCTGTCTCCTGCCTTGCTAATGGCCATTCAGCTCTTTGTTAGACCATCAGGTGTTTTAGACAGGCAAAATAACACAGCTTCACAGAATTAAACAAATGCAACATAAAAGAATGCCCACACACTCCAGAAGAGAATTTGACATTGTTGCTGCCATTGTTGCTGTTATAGCAGAGGTGGCAACCACTACTACTGTTTCTGGGATTACAATTTCATAATTGCTTACTACAGCTAGCACAGTGGAGACCCTGGCAGCAAAAGTAGCTACCACAGTTAATTAATCTTTCATTCTATTGGGCATGATAAATTTAATTCAATAGTTATATACATTTTGATTGGCTTTGAAAATTATAAATTTATAAATTCAAGTTCCATTTACTTTTGGGATACCATTTTACCAGGACTCCAATTTGCAGTAAGTCTTGTTAAGGAAGGGAATGGCTCAGTTGCCTTTAGCCTTCTGGCTACGGGTGGGTTAGGACTTCTGTTGGTCTTTTCTCTGTCGAACACACAGATTGCAAGCCCAGCGCCACTTTGAGATCTTTGGCAGCAGTTAACTCTGCAGCTCACACACGATTGAGCCTGTATGATAATGAGTATTCAGAGACGGGTAATGCCTGAGGGGGGCCACTCACCAACCTACGACAGACCGCCTGTGTGGCCTGGGCAGGAGTTTCCATGATGGGTAAGGTGGCCTGCTGACATCCCATGCAACCTAAGTCAGAAGCTCATTTATTAGTAAAAGGGGGACCTGTAGGGCCTTGGCCCCCATTTTGGGTAACTGTTGCCTTGCTTGCTGACCTTGACCTTGATATCCTCCCTATGCTAATTCCCTCCCGGGTTTCACCCTCCCGAATGCTTAAGGGAAGTTCCTTGTCTATGTATCCTGCACAATGGGCGTTAACAGGTTAGATGCAGGATTGTAAAACATCTGTAGCGAACTTCTGCCCTCCAGGGTTCTCCCATTGTGCTGTAAGCCTGTATTTAAGACATCCTCCCTCCTTCAATAAATGGCATTTGGCATTAAAAATAATAATAATAATAATAATAAATACAACATATCTTTGCCTCATAAAACAAATGTTCCACAGCATAAACGAATGTAACACATCTTAAAACAATATTCTAGAACAGGGCATCCTAATGTCACCTACAGCCTGACAAAAGCCCAAGCTTAGGGGATAACTAGCCATTGGCAAGTTGACCCAGTATATGGCAACTTCACTTGATGAGGAGCTCCTTAGTGACCCATGTCTTCCCAAGAGCCTGGCTCTCTGTGTAGAAAAGAAGGAATAGAAGGTGTGAAGAATTACAGTGAGGGGGAAGCGAGGGAGAGTATACTGGCCGGATGTTCTATTGTTCCTCAGATATCCAAAGTGTCTGATCCAGCTAGCTTCAACTCTTATCTCACTGGGGTCTGGGTGTCCCTAGTACTGGGCAGAGCCTCACAGTCCTCATGTGTTGGCACCATGTGGGTGGGGACAACCATAAATGGTAGACTAAGGCACTTGGGGGTACCAGTCCAGAGGCTCCTCACAGAGACTGTCCCCAGACAGGTCTGCTCCTTGACAACCTTGTTCCTACTGCTCATAATAGAAAGTGTGCGTGCATGAGTGTGTGTGTGTGTGTGTGTGTGTGTGTGTGTGTGTGTGTGTGTGTGTAAGGCCACTACTGGCCTATAGGAAAAAAGCAAATAAGTGAAAGCCTTGGGTATAGACCAAGAATTGAGCGTATCCAGTGGATAAAAGTATGGATGTTCACTAACATGAAGCACTTTCTAAAATTTACAACAATGCCCAAACCTTTATTCATTAACATACACCCACACTCTCCCCTGCCCACACACACACATAATGACACATATTCAGATTAGTGAGTATGGCTAGCCAAAGGAAACAGGAAGAATGGTGACGGCCTAAGTGACGGCCAGAGAGATTCCAGTAACACCTTATCAGCTGCAGAGAAACAAGATTTAGATCAAAGCCTGAGAACCTCCCTTCCCATCACACATGAAAGTAAAGCAACCGGCATTCCAAGGAACATGATGGTGGTCTGAAAGCCATGCTGAGCCTAGACTGACAGGCCAGGTGTGATGGAAAACTCCTACTTCTCCTCACTGTCAGAGTGGTCCTGCCAACCAGCCTTGCCTGCTGCACTCAGCTCTGATGCTCCAGGCTGGGGACTGAGGGCGGGCTGTGGAACTGGGTGGGGGCGGACTACCTTCTCTCCAGCTGGGCATGAGCAGTTGATGGTCTTCAAGAACCCAATCTGTTCGCTACCAGGAGTGGGCAGCTGTGGAGGAGCAGGTGGAGCCTCTGTCACCACAGTCACCTGACACTGGAAAGAAAGGTCAAGGGGTCAGAATCTGACTACTTCCTGGTGAGGACCATGATATATATCTGGGACTGAAGGAACTGGGCAGGCAAAAGGGAACCCAGAAGCCCCCGACCACACATGAGTGGACAGGACACATCTAACAGCAGATGCCAACTCTCCTAAGGCCTTAGAGTGAATAGGCTAGGCAGCCAAGCTCTAGACACTGGCCAGCTTCGCAAGCTACAGGAACCACTTAGCCACCTTGGCCTCAGTGTTCACCGTGTAGGATGGAGACAAGGGGTTTCCTTTATCAGCTTCTGAGACAGACTGAATGAGACTGCTTAGGGAAGCTTCTATCTTACAGCCCCATATCTACACACTTCACGGCCTTAGCCCTCCTCCTCCTATCCTCCCTGAAATCTCTCAGCTCCTATTGCCCCTTTCTTTCCTTCCTTCCTTCCTTCCTTCCTTCCTTCCTTCCTTCCTTCCTTCCTTCCTTCCTTCCTTCCTTCCTTCCTCACTTATATCCAGGTGCCTCCAGATCCCCAGCCTCTGAATATTATAGGCATGCTAAGAAGAACACAGTGATGGAGCCCTTACTGTATCCCTGGGCCTGGGCCATCAGGCACTGAACGTGGAGCTCACCCTTCAACCCTGGGAAGCAGGTTCCATCCCAATCCCACCTTTCAAGCATAACTTGGAACTAGGGTTTGGTAGAGAAATAGGGAGGAAATGGGATGTGAGGAGTGGATGATGAGGCCTGAAGGGTGTGGACCCTGTATTCAAAGGCCTAGTGGGTCCAACCCTCGGCTCTGGGGCCATTAGTGTCCTGACCACCATCTTGCCTCCTATCCCAAAGCACTGGAGCTTCCCTCCTCTGAGCACTGAATGTATAAGTCCACCGTGATCTCTGGGGGAACTCTCCAACCTCTGCCTTCCACACTTCCCCAAAGCTGGGTCTCAGCACTTGGCTGGAAGCCTTGGGGGTCACCCTGACTGAAGCTCTGTTTAACTTGGTTTTCACAAACTCATGCTCTGTGTAAATGGTTAGAAGTAAAACATGAACCCAGAATCCCACACACACACTGATGGCCGGCCAATGCCACCCTGGCCTCAACTGTTAATTCCTGAACCCTGAACACTCAAGCCCCAGACGCCATACATATTTCTGGCCCAGTCTTCATGTCTGCTCACCGGACCCGTCGGGATATCACAGCAAGTCTCCAGTTCTGCATGCCTCGAGTCACAGTAGATCACAATCCGCTGCAGGTCAAACTGGAAAGGAACATGAGGAGAGAAGGAAGAACTGGAATCTCTGTGGTATGAGACAGCCACTTGCTCTTGGGATCCTTCCCACCCTGGGCTGCACTGCTGGGCTGCATGGGGAGTCTCTGCATTGTCTGTGTACCCAAATGCCATCTAGAGGAAACCCCCTTACATGAAAGGCTCGAGGAAAGAGGTGAGCCCATGCTTGCGTCCACTCTACAGGGACCGTGGGCTTAGCCCCAGCCACACACACAGGCACGCCTGCTCCTATCCAGGTCACCACTGCTGCAGGCAACACAGTACACTGATGATGGGACAGGTCCCAGACCGAAAGCTCAATGTGTCCCTACTCTCACCCTGTCGGGGCATCATCTCCATGCAGTAGCTTACATGAACTTTTGAGATAAATATCTACTGCTCATTCCACCTTTCATACCCTCCACCTAGACTTAGAAACTGAAAACATAAAGATCTCCATATGTAAGACTAATAGTGACACACACACACACACACACACACACATATACACACACATGCACACACGCAACTTCTCCACACTCTGGCCTGTGCACATGGCTGCAAACTGTAAAGTGATTGCAGGCCTGGAATCTGTCTGCTTTCCGGGCCCCAGGCTCGTGCAGTCAGAGACTGGTTTGCAGAAACCAGAGCCAGAACTGCTTTGAGTTCTGGCTGAAGATGTCACACACTAAATACAATTCAGCAAACTCAGGCTGCTGCCCAGGCTCAGTCCTTCCACAGTCCGCCCTGATTTCCAATCAGCTTCCTTTTCTGGACTGACCTGGGCCTCTCCACACACTAGACTCTTTCCCATACATCCTGCCCTCACAGTCCCACTGCCCAGGAAGACTCTTCCCTCCTACTGTTCACAGGCAGGCTGCTCTTAGCTTCCACCTTCCTCTTGCTAGCCAGGCTCAGGCTCACTCCTCTCCTCATCCATCCTCACAACAGTACCTGCCATGCAGCTACACTATGTATTTCCTTCACTCTCCAGAACCTATTTCCTCTGCTACAACAAAATCTCTGTGGGACAAGACTCTGTTCTCTCTTGTCCCCAGTTCTAGGGCAGCCCCTTGCCACAAGACAAATGTGGCCCAAGTAGACCCTCAATGGATGAAAGAACGTTTAACAAACAGAACTGGTAGGTGAGGGGCTCTGCCTGTGTGGGGCTGGGGAGCCTTCTGCTTCTACCATGTGCTCCTCAAAGCACAGCCCATCATGCCACCTGGTTCTCTTCCGAAGGACAAGAGCAGATCTACGCATGGCTATTTCATTTCCTGTTGAGGCACCAATGCAGACCAGGAGAAAATGTCAGAACGCATATTCTTGATTTGGAGCGAGACTGGTCTTTAGGAGACAGCCTGCTTTCTACATTAGCAGCGATCCCCTGACCACAACTGGGCCATCAGACAGGGCTAGGGAGCTAAGGATGGGAGGGGCCCCAAATTCCCACCACTGCCCTTGATCCCTGATACTCCAGGAACCTTAACTCTCCCCCATCCACTGTCTCCCCAAGTCCCAGAATCTCTACCCATTCTATCCTTCTGGGCCTCATTCCTGTCTGAGAGCCATACTCCGGTTCTATCTATAGCAGCTGTGGGCTGAACTATCTCCTGGGTCAGCTCCCAGCTCCCAGTCTCCCACCACATCCTCCACACAGGTACTCATCGAATGGCTCTTTGCTGGCTTGTGTGTGGAAACAGATTAGGAAGAGCTAAAAGCATAACCTGGGCTCTGCCAGGCTGAGTCTAAGGTTCAGACCAACTCGGCTGTCACGAAGTCACCTCAATTCTCTGATCCTCCATTTGCCCTTTAATGATACGGTCTCACGGAGCTATAGAGGGTAGTGAGGGGCTCATAGGATACAGTGCCTGTCCCACATCAAACCTAGATAAGCTGAGGCCTCTTCGCACTGTTTCTAAGACCCCAAACCACATGGCCACAAGTATCCTAGCCCATGAGGTGGGAAGCATATAAAATATACTGACTCTCCCTCTAAGCATTTGACCGAGAAACACAACTAGGGATGAATGTCAGAAGCCCCAGATTCCTTAGGGTTTGAGACCAATAAACCTTTCTCACTGACAGAGGGAAAAGGAGGAATGAGAGATCTTCCCACTTAAGGAACTGGTCCCTGTTCCCACATTCACAGTGTTGGATAAACAGGGACGCTTCCTGGCTGAGTGTGATGGCCAAATTCAAGAGTCAGGGTAGGACCCAGATCTAGTACCAAATGACCAAGACTGGGCTGGAAGAGACACTGCCCTCCTTGTGAATTTACAACGTGGCGCAGCTCCTTCCAGTCTGTGCCTGACTTGGCCTCCTCAGGGGGACTAAGCGGTGTCAAGCACTGCTGTAAGTCGCTCAGTGTTTACAGTAACCATACAAGGGGGCCCCACTCACAGGCCACCAGAGTTTGTACTGGACGCACAAACCAAAGCAGAAGGGCAACAGACACTGCCCCACACTGGAGTGCTGAGCTCTCTCTGGTTCTGCTTAAGAACTGGATCATGGCTATGCATAGGACTGGCTGGTCTCACAGCAGTGAACCGCCTGATAATGCTCATGGAGGCTAAGCCCTTCCAAGGAGTAAGATCACCTGTGTTTGCATTTCTCAGAACCACTTCAAGCAACTGAGCCGGATGTGGGGCCAGTGGGAACCGGCCAAAAGTCAAGGTGCATGGAAGAGTGGATCCCTGGGTTCCTCAGCCCATGGACACCTCTCTTGAGACTCTGGAGAGAGGCAGAGGCCTGAGGGAAGCAGGCAGGAAAGGGAAAGAGAAGCCTGGGGCCTCTGGGAAGGGACAGAGAAGAGCTGAGTCAGGGTTCTGAGTCAGGGTTCTCCAGAAGATAACAAGCTCATGAGCCTCATGGGTCTGAGTAACTACCAACTCCCCAGCACCTGCTCACTGTCTCAGCAGTTGACTCTTAAGAGCCTCAGTGCATTCCAGCTCCATGCCCAGTTGCTACCCCTGCACGCTGACCCAACCAAGACCCCTACCTCTCTGCCTCCTTCCCAAGCACTCTCCATCTTCCTATGGACCCCCCTCTCTGCAACAAACAGAGACTGCTTGGGCATAGCACTTACCCACTTTTGCTTTTTTGGACGAGTGTCACCTGCAGGCTGATTTCCAGGATATATCCAGAAAGCTTTGGACGTTTCCTAACTATCTCTTCCACCTCATGCTTCAAGCTCCTACCCTCTGGCAATCCTGCTCCCAATAGATACATTCTACCTTGTAGCCTTTACCCTCTATGCATAAGTTCACTTCCTCTAGGGAGCCACCCCACATACCTCTCTCAGTTCCCTCCTCACAGCTACCATACTTCTGCAGTTTAGACACCCATCCTATATGTTCCATGATACATGATGCCAATGTCTACTGTGGCATTTACTTAACCAGAGGGAATGATCTCGGTGAGTCTTCCTTCCATGGAAACCCTGGGTTTGTTAAATTCACATCTTTTTAATAGTCATGCTCAACGTAACTGGGTACCCGCAGTATATCAGACAGTCAAGCATATACAGAAGACAGATAAGCAGCAGCCACCACAATGGAACTTGTGCTGCCCTGAGAAGCTACTAAACATACAGTAAGCACCAAATGGGTGTTCTGATGCTAATGCTGCTCTGCCACTTTGATGCTGCTAACTAATGTGGCCTGGAAGGACCAGTTTGCCATGCAAAGGATACAGGATTTAGAGCCTGTGAGCCCTCCCCACGCCTGCTCATCCCAGGATGGTGTGGCACCACCTGGATATGATTTGTGCTTCTGTGTGTATTTGACCCAACTCATCAAAGTACCATTGTCCCTTGGTACCCTAGAAGCCCTCCTCCATAACAAAACCTAATGACGTTGAGCTCTTTATTTCAAAATGACTAGTGTTTGCATGTCAATCTTATGCTCCCTTATAGGCACCAGTATCACCAATGCCAAGCCGAGAATCTAGCAAACAGAAGGATCTCAATGTATATACAATGGATGGATGAATGAATGAGTGAACGAATGAGGAATTTGGACTCCACTTCCGAGTCAAGTGTCCTCCCTCCTCAGAAAGTCCATGGTGATGATTGATAAGTTGTTGATGAATTAGAACTACAGATATGGGGGACACTAAGGCACCAAGATTCCAGGGTCCACTCTGATGGCCCTGGCACTGACTACAAGATTCCCTCAGGTACTCACGTCAATGGGCACACTGTCGTAGAGACGCTTGCCAATCACAGTCTTGCCCTGGATGTCGATGTTCTCCCTCTCCTCGATGGGCAGTGTCTGAACCAGCACACAGTCAATGTAGAGGGACACATTCTGGGCCTGGATGCTTAGAGCCATCTTGTGCCAGTCACGGTCAAAGAGGTCATCAACCCGGGGACCTCGGAAGACCACCCTGACTGCATCCTTCATGGCACCCACAGCGTTGTACTCAACTGCCTTGTTCTCACCATCCAGCCGGATAGAAACCTAAGGAGACAGGCAAGAGAATGCTTAAAGACCTACTACATCCCCTGAACATAATGGGGTAAAGCAGGGACAGAGGGGGGAAGGTCGAGTCAGTCCTAACAATGCTGACACATCCAACTGTGACTCTCACACCAGGATGCTCAGGTACCTTTCCGGGCTTTGATTCCTCCTAAGCATGAGGGCATCAATAGCCACTTAGCAAGCTGCTCAAACCTGGGCAATAATTAGACTAACTGTGCCCATCCACAGGGCACAGGTCATGTACTCAGTGTGTGAAGAGGCTACTGGGGCTTCTGTAAGACTTCAAATGACCAGTGAAGAGGGACTGAGGCATGACACCAACCAGAAATCCTAATTCCAGGGTCTCTTAAGACCCTGCCCTCCCTAATGTAGATGTCAAGTGCCAGTCTGCAACCAGATGGGTGAAGATTCAACCGCAGCTCTATGAGAATGAAAACCCTTAACTGGTGAGGGCCTTGACTATCTAACTATCTAGGTCACTCATGCACACTCAGCCCTTTGCATAATCTCCTAGCACAGAGAAAGCACCCAGGGTTGTCTAACCTTTTGGCTCCTCTGGGCTATATTGACATCTTCAAAGTCCATGCTCAAGAACCAGACAATCAAGTTGCAAAAAAAAAAAAAAAAAAAAAAACCTCACACAAAATAATCTCATAACATTTTTAGTACATTTACAATTTTATGCTGGGTGACATTCATAGTGATCTGTGGCTGCACACAGGACACCTCTGCAAGAAAGGTCACTTATGTTTGCTTCCGGTGGATGAATAGTATGTTCTCACCCATGCTCTTACTTATTCATTCCCCCCAGGATGCTCGCTGAACATGCTGTGTGGGACAGGCAAGCCAAGTGTCAGGAATGCAGCAGTGACTGTGTGGAGTCTTGGGCAGTGCATGAACATAGGGGCCATCAACTAAGATTAGTCTTCATCTGTCCTGACTCAGGCCCGCCCCCCTGCTGCCACTTCCTGCGGTTGTTAATCCAGGGTTGCATCAGCATCCCTTTGCTGGTTCCCACTCCTCTTGCCCCACTTCCCCACTCTTAACTCCAGCCACTTCATCATCATCATCATCATGATTATTATTATTATTATTATTATTATTATTATTATTATTATTATTATTAGTTCAGCAGGTTAGATGTTGCCTGATCAACCCAAACCAGAAAGTAGTTTCAAGGCTTTGTGACTTCAGGTTATTTAACCTCTCTGCACTGTCATTTGCAAAATGATATTAAAAAGTGGCACTTCTGCTGGGTGGCAGTGGCACACGCCTTTAATCCCAGCACTCAGGAGGCAGAGCCAGGAGGATCTCTATGAGTTCGAGGCCAGCCTGGTCTACAGATCGAAATCCAGGACAGGAACGAAAACTACACAGAAAAACCCTGTCTCAAAAAAAAAAAACCAAAAAGTGGCACTTAACATCATAGCTTGCTGAGGGTAAAATAAGTAAGTATACATGTAAGCAATTTACATAGTATGGCTATGCCAGACTCTACTCTAAATCTTAATACAATACCTTAAACAGGTAAGATCACAGACAGAAACCAAAGTCTTTTCTAATAATCCTGGTTTGCTTCCTATTGCTCTGCTAAAGACCATGACCAAAAGCAACTTGGAGAAAGGGTTTATTTCATCTTACAACTCCCAGGTCCCAGATCATCACTAAGAGAAGTCAGGACAGGAATCTGGAGGCAAGAACTGAAGCAGAGGCCATAGAGGAGTGCCACCTCCTGGCTGTCTTCCTGGCTTTCTCAGCTTGCTTTCTTATATGACCCAGAGGTGGCATTGGCCACAGTAGGCAAGACCCTCCCAGATGAATAACGCATCAAGAACCGCCTAAAGGTCAATCTTATAGAGGTATTTTCTCAGCTGAGTTTCCCTCTTCCCAGATGACCTAAACTTGCATCAAGTTGACAAAAAATTAATCATCGCACCAATACACATATACCTTTGGAGTCTAACAGACTTCTCATTTGTCCAGACATTTTAATTGATTTGTACTTACTTGCCTTTACAGTTATAGATCAACACATGATGTTATTTTGTTTAGTAATTGTGCATACCTGCACACCTGTTTACTTAAAGTCCACTTTCCCATCCTTTTAAACAGACGCTTGGTCTTCTCCTTTGTTAATCCCTGTAATGCCAGAGCATGTGGTACGTGGTGGCATTCAAGAAAAAGGTGCTGAATGAATGAATAAATCAATCAATGGAAAAGCAAGAGTCCCTGAGAATAAATAAAGGTGCCTGAACAATGCAGAGAATTGGCCAGAGTATTCCAAACACAGCCCTTGTCTTCTAGGTTCTCCTTTTGGCTCAACCTCCTTTCAACACAACCAAGGGGTCCCTCATATTCCTTTTAATTGGCTCACCTGCATACATATTACAGGTGTCTGAACAGCCGAAAACAATGGGCTCCTCTCTGTCTAATACAGCACATACAGTGTGATTGTTTCATGATTGAACACAGCCCTCCATTTCCTCAAGGTAGTCTCACAGACCTCAGGTCCTGGCCCTGACCACTCCGGAACTCCCTGTAGACTTGGCTTTCCCATGATGTTTGTCTCAAGCAAGCAAGAAAGCTAGCCAAGGTAGTCACAGGCTTAAGTCCTGTGACCACCAACAGTAGCTGGTGACCTCCCAGAATCCACTTCATCTCTCAGATGCACCAGCAAATTGTAGTAGCTCATTTTCCAGCTCTATGTGAACCCTGGTTACTCCAGCAGGAGGGCAACAGCAGACCTGGCAGACAGGGAGCACAAAGCCCTGCAAATGCCATGAAAGAAAGGACCCAGACGTGGGGGTGTGACGGGTTCATCCCAGAAGAATGTCATGGCAGGTGCCCAGTCCCACCCGGCCAAACCAGAGAAACTGAAGAAGCAAATCTATGGTTAACAGACAGTGGTGGTGGATAGGAACACAGAGCCGACAGAAGCCTGTGAATGCTTTCAGTCTCCCACACATAGGAAACTGGATCCCTCCATGGTTAACTCTGAAAATGAGTTTACACCTCAGTGGGACCACAGATGCTATGGGAGAGCTATTCAACAGGACTGAAGACCCAGACAGGAGTAGAACAAAAGCACAGACTTGGGAGCCTTCACTGTGTGGGTTCAAATCTCAACTTCTGCTTTTATTACCCATGCAAACAAACTCAGGTCAATTCCTGAGCCTCTCTGTGGCTATTTCTATTTCTTACCCTGAGATGGGCATGGTAGCACCAACCTATAGGCAGGATAATGAGGACGACTCAGTGCATTAAGACTTGTGAGCCATTTGAATTATACTACGAGCAGATTTGTGTCAGTGAACAGTGAAGAACAATGTCAAGGCCTCCTATGACCACAAGGAGAGTTCATCCTATCCTATTTTGGTCTGTCCTATTCTTTTTTTTTGGGGGGTGGGGTGGGGTGAGTTTCGAGACAGGGTTTCTCTGTGTAGTTTTGGTGCCTGTCCTGGGTCTCGCTCTGTAGACCAGGCTGGCCTCAAACTCACAGAAATCTGCCTGGCTCTGCCTCCCAAGTGCTGGGATTAAAGACATGTGCCACTGCCACCCAGCTCTGTCCTATTCTAATTCTTATTCTTATTTGACTCTTCTACTCTATTCTATCCCATTCTATTCTGTTAGAATAAATCCTATTCTACTCTGTTAGAATAGATTGAAAGTAGTGACAGAATGTCCCGGCCATTGCCCACTTCTCCTCACAAGGTTCCTAGCACCTCAACTGTATCATCTCATTTACTTATTTTAAGAGAAGAGGGGTAAAGGAAGAGAGAGAGAATCAAAGAGAAGAGCTTAGAAGGAGGTGGTCCATGGGGATGGGGGGGGGCAGAAGTGGCTGCTGCTGATTGTCTCTTGGCCCACAGTCCATGATTGCCAGAGCCCAATTACTTGGCAAGCTTTTGTCCTGTTTTAGCTGCATATTGAGAGTTTCTCCCAGCTGAAAGTGAGAATGTCTGCATGTGCACATTTCCAACGAGAGGACAAGGTTTGAGGCTCAGGCCTTTCAGCACCAAGAACAAGTATATTGGGACTGGATCAAGAATGGAGGGTGGTATTGCTTTCCTTTTAGAACAACGCTGTGTTGATGGCCTTGGCTTTGCCATCTGTCCTTCCTCACAGGGTGGCATGCTGTTGAGGAATGGTCGAACTGAAAGCCAATACTCCAGAGGTGGGTAAAGACAAGTGTGTGTAACTTCACATGAGAGAAAACTTAAAAAGACAACCTTCATTTATACAAGAGATCTACTCGTGACAGATCCTACCACACATCAGGCTCTGCTGGACGCTTTTGCAAATGTGATTCCATTAACACCTGACTCTCCCACCCACAATCCTTGGTAATTATTCTCATTTTCCACTTTCAAGCTAAGGAAGCTAAGACTCACAGGCCATCCTACCCCATGGCCCACACCATGGAGAGAGGCAGTACAACATTTGGCCAGGTCCACCTGACCCTGAACCAGTTCCTTCCACTTCTTTATGAGGTCACCAATGGAGAAGGTGCTGTAAGACAACAGAGCATGTGGTCACTTCTCTGTTTAGGCAGAAAGCCTCAGAGGACAGAGGGAAGAGGAGCTGGGCCTACAGGTTCTTTGGGGTTCTGTGCACTGGACCCCCAAGCTTCTGTCTAGGCCCAGAACTGAGCATCTTGCCAAAACCACAGTAGTCAAGACTATTTCCTGGGAGCAGGACACAGCACTTGCCCCAGAGACAGGCAGCACTACCCATACCTGTGGGATGCCATACTGATCGATGACCTGCCAGATGTACCAGTCTTCTTTCCGAGATGTTTTCCGGAACCGGAAGGTTGTGACAAAGGCGTACTCATCAGGCAGACCTTGGGGGAATACATCCCTGAGAACAGAGAGACAGACATATGGTACAAGGATTAGTGAGGAGAGTGGGGAGCTAGTAGAGGAAGCTTCCATGTCTGCTCAGCTACTGAGTCTTGGTGGTGTGAATCCCCACCCCCCAAGGATGCCCATCATCTACTGGCTCATCACCCTCCCAATGACTGTCGGTCAATAAGTGCTAAGTGACCAGCCCCCAGGAATGGTTGCAGTGGAGACTTCCAATCTTCACCTCTCCTGTCCTGTTCCCATGTTTATTTTACCAGGGATCCTATACCAAGTAGCTATAGTCTCAGTGTACATTTTCATAAAATCCTAATGCCTAGGTGGTCATGAGAGTGGAACCCTCAGGACAGATCAGTGCCCTTGTAAGAGAGGTCCCTCAGTGTTTGGTATTTCTGTCACATGGTATTACCATGAGAAGACACCATCCGTGAAGACCTGACCTTAGACAACAAGCCTCTAGCTCTTCAAGAAGCTTCTGCCACTTAAGAACCATGTAGACTACACAGCATTGTCACTAAGACACAGGACATCCTCTTAGAAATTCAGTAACTATGGAGACCCAAAAGCCAATCACTCTGTGCCTGCCCAGGGCGTCCTTGGACCACCCCTCCTTCCACCTTCACCCATGTCATGGACAGAGACACCTGCACTTCCTCCTGAGCCTTAGTAAAGCCCTGCAAAACTAATTTTCTTCCTTTCTTCCCCCCTCCCTTTCTCTACCAACAGAGTTCTGCAAACAGTAACTTACACACTTGCTCATTTCATCAGCTCTCACCACCACATATTCAAATGAATGTAGATTCAAAGCACCTGGTCTTGGCCCCACAGATCTCCACAGTTTCCTTGTGGTGATCCCTGTGAGAAGGTCTGATAACCCCCTGTCCGTCAGCTCTACCACAAAGCCCCTAGAACAGCAGACTTCCTACAGGTGCTAAGGAATAAAGAACCCTGAAAGCTGTCAAATGCAGTCTTTATGCAAAATCCTCTCTTTCCCCAGGCCAGGCTAGTTTTCTCAGAGGACATTGAGAGGGTAACCTCCCATTGCCATGGAGGACACCACACCACAAACCGCCACTCCCTCTGGACAGCAGTGACATTCCTCCTACCCCAGTTGTGAAAACAATGGTGCCTCTAGACACCACCAGATCTTGCCGACTTCCCCTGGTGAATACCTGTGTTTTACCTAGGATATCCATACTATCAAAACAAAGTTCAGCCTATTTTTATAAGGTTTCTTCAATAAATTACACACATGGTCTTAATACAATAATCTAAGAGTTGATTTTAAAATGAGTACTTTGAGAAACTTAATATAAGGAGGACACTGAGTCTTCATTTCATTCCACCCTGGAAAGAACTTGTGAAGGATTATTTTTGATCTTCATATTGTTGGTCAGGACCCCTCGACTCTTTGGGGTTAACTCAAGGAGATTTAGCAGACAGAGTTCACATCCAGAGGGTCTGGTCTCTCCATAGTTTTTCTCTTAACCACCAGCCAACTGTTCTTTCCTTCTGTAGAATTTGGCCAGGAAGGAGCCAAAGTCTACCCTGGGGGCGGAAGACTGCCTCTGGGAACACACATAGCATGGATTTTGCTGCTGGAGGAGATGGAGGCTGTCTGGCCAGACATCCAGAAAGGGAAGTGGGAAGGCGTCTGGGTTCCTGGTTCTTAGATTTACAGATCCTCAGGGATTCTTCATGTAGCTACAGAACTCCTGAGCTTAGACTGGTCCTCACTGATTCTCCTCTGACAGATCCAGGCTGAGAGGTGACCCAGTTGTTCAATATCATCTCTCTGGTCAACAACATCACCGAGGATCATATAGAAACAGGAGGCAAAGAGCCTGTCACCTTCAGCACATAGGCTTCCCTCGGGAGTTAGGAAGTCCTTTAACCACCAAGCATGTAGAAAAAAGACAGGATGCCACCACCTAAGACACTTTTACTTTTTTGTTCATTTCATTCATAAATCTGTCTATTGTTTTCTTTCTAAACACACTTTACTCTTATTATTTTGAATTATCTCAACAGACATATGCAAGTGTGTGCATCCAAACAAAAGATTGTATGTGTGTATGTGTGTGTGTGTATATGTGTGTGTGTGTGTATTAACACACACATACACAGAGAGAGAGAGAGAGACAGAGACAGAGCAATGCACATATACATACCTACACACATATATAGTCTGGGGTGGAGGAATCAGTTTAATCAAGGCAAGGGTAGGAAATCCAATGAACAATTCTTTCCATAAATAATATAGCAGGTATGAAATTACAGCGCAAAGGACAAGGCTTTGGACTTCAAGTACCTGACAGGAGGCCAGCTTCTGTTTCCTGTTATCTGTGCGATTTTAACAAGTGACTGCCTTCCTTAGAGTCTCAGATGTTGTACCAGATAAATGAGAGTAATGCCTGCCCTGCTCACCTCATGTTATTATAGTGAGAAGCAAATGAAGGAAGAGGTGTAAAAATGCCCTTGACGTGTTCAAGAAATGAGTAATGTTGAAAGCGACATCTTTTTGCATTATGAATAAAATTAACTTGCAAATTAAATCATGTATGTATAAGGATGAATACATTTCAAAGGACTAGAAAGGGAAGGGAAACTATCCTTTCTTGAGATGTCTGAGTTGCAAAGCTATGCTGTACGAAATGGAACACACACAGTAATCCCTATTCAGGAAACTGCCAGTGTCACAGAGGCTAAACTCATCACCCAGAAGTTGTGCCCAGTCCTCTGTTCTCTAGAGCAAGAGCTTAAAGATGTTCTGCTGATTGACAGGTGTCCCAGGAGAACAAGACATCTCTGGCAATGGGAAGGGTCCTCTGTGAGGCATCTGCCACATTTGTGTAACACTCTCCCTTTTGTTCTTTATTGGCTTTTCCTCTATGGTTAAATTACATACGATGCTTTTTTGTTTCTGAGTAATGTTGCTGGTGAATTCATAAGAAGGCATGAAGTAAGAGTGGAGACTGGAGCCTATCTTTGCATTTCCTTAAAAAGAGCCTGGGACCAGGTGATTCACATCACCCCAAGCATCTGTGCACCATTGCAGAAGATGCTCAGTACCTAGGAGGTCAGAGTACAGTCTCTGTTCCACAGGTGAAAAGATGGAGCTCAGGGAGGAGTCACGTGCCTCATTCTCCTTTACTCTCAGGGAATGCAGGTTTGGAGCCATGGGTGAGATGATGCTACAGTCTAATGCAGAGCTGGCTCTCGGAGGATGCTGAGTGAACTCAATGCTGTGTTCCAGTCTGTGTTCATGGCTCACCATGGGTAGCTGAAATCTGACTTCTCTCACTGTGGTCTAATTTATGCTGTCAAGAGAGAGCCACCAATCCCCTGCTATAGGCAGTGGTTAGCTCAGTGATGGACTCTGGAAGAGACCAAGACTTAGGTCTCTCACAAAGTTTCTAACGAAGCAGCAAAGACAGTTTGCAAAGGACCAACTGCATAGTTTGATTCACTGGACGCAAATTCACCATGCTCAATCAATGCAGGAGTGTGCTATGAGGAGAATAGAGGAAGGGAAGGTCTGTCTTAGGGTGGAGGTTCCCCAAGAGCAGCAGCTAAAGCCCGGCAGTTGAACTATACTCGAAGGAGGAGCAGAGCAGGTACCCAGGCTAGAGAAAGGGACACAGCAAAGGTCTGGCAGTATGAGGAGGTACCTAGAATTCTCTAAACACACAGAAGTCAACAAAGGAGGCTTGGGTCAAACCATGAGACACTGAAGGTGATTCCAAATGCCAGTCTGCCATTTATGGCCTCTGAGTTTAAGAAACCATAAAGGCAATTAAAGAGTTACAAGATGGAGGAGGGATCTCATGATGCAGGAGCATCCTAGTTTTCAAACCCTCTGCCTATCTCTGGTGAGCATAGAGCACTCACTGTGGGATCATGTTTAGTCCTTCACTGGAGATACAGCGGGATCAGACACTGGACAAATATGTGTAGCCTAGCTTCTCAACATCACAAAGCAGGGATACTCATCGCAGGTGGAAACAGAAGAAAAAAGAGACATTTGGTAATGTATAAACAAGGCACCCAGTCAACAACATGGGAACTGGATCTTCACTGACCAAAAACATTACATGATTCTAGGAGATAGACATTTGCTAGGTGTGGCCATGGCTGGTCCATAGGAGGTGATATGCGGCGATAAACATAAAATGGTTGTTCTTTAATGAGCTGAAAGAAAACTGCATCCATAAATGGATGGTTAATGTCAAATGAAAAGATGAGCACAAAATGAAAAGAATCATTAGTGCAATGAGCATGGAACTGCAAAGAATGAGCTGAACTTCCCAGATCAGCAGCTAAGTTGCATCACCTGAGTGTAAACTTCACCAGGCATTCTACCAAGTGTGTTACAGCTCAGCTCAGTGCTGAGTGAGCAGCTGTGGCAGGCTGCACCCTGCTCCCCAGAGCATGCAGATGTTCTGAAAGGAGAAAGGACCACTCACTCAGTTCTCTGCACCACAGGGAAGGAACCCATCCGTACATAGGAACTCTGTGCTCCATTTTCTCTCTTCCCCAAGATTTCCTTCACACTGAACAAATCCATCAGGTCAAAACCTGTGCAAACAGAAGAGTTGGGAGTGAGTTTAGCAGAGGAAGAGTATGAGACATGAACAGTGTCTTAGTTAGGGTTTCTATTGCTGGGAAGAGACATCATGACCACAGCAACTCTTGTCAAGGAAAACATTTAATTGTGTTGGCTTATACAGTTCAGAGGTTTAGTCCATTATCATCATGACAGGAAGCAAAGTAGCACACAGGTAGGCACAGTGCTAGAGAAGAAGCTGAGAGTTCTTACATCTTGATTTTCAGGCAACAGGAAGTTGTCTGAGACACTGAGTATGGCTTGAGCATATATGAGACCTCAAAGCCCACCTCCACAGTGACACACTTCCTCCACCAAGGCCAGATCTACTCTAACAAAGCCACACCTCCTAATAGTGCTACTCCCTTTGGGGGTCATTTTCTTTCAAATCAACCACAAACAGCTAGCTCATTCTTTTCAAAGGCAGCCCACCCACTCTGCCTCAAGGGGTGGGGACTTAGATATAAGAACACATATTGGGAAGACAAGAGGAGCTGAGCCTCAAGTCCAATGCCAGGATAAGGCACTGGGGAATGCAGACACTGGCCCCCACACTGGAATGTGAGAACCAAGAGCATCCTGGATCGTGGTTAAGTACAACAAGACAAATGAAGGTGTTTTGGTTTCCGTTGCTGTGGGGACTTCTGTGTTCCAGAAGCGCAAATGTGCATGCAGATCCTTTAGGACATGTGTTCTCAACCTTCTTAATGCTGTGACCCTTTAATACAGTTCCTCCGTGTCGTGGTGAGCCCAACCATAAAATTATTTTCACTGCTCTTTCTTAACTGTAATTTTGCTACTGTTGTGAATCGTAATGTAAATACTTTTGGAGATGGAGGTTTGCCAAAGAGGTCATGAGAACTGCTGCTTAAGGACCATCCACAACTTAAGGCTTTCCTTTCTGCAGCCACACTGCTGCCTTTCCCTTGGATCTTGCTGGGATTGCTGGCTGTGGCTTTGGAATCTCATGATTTTAAAGAGAGAAACATGAGAGAGACATAAACTAACTGCCTTTGCAGTATTTGCATTAGTAAACGGTGAGTACTTCAGCTTGCTTTGATTTCTCTTAAAAGATTACTGAGGGCCATTGTCAGCACAAAGTAAAAGAATAGTCACGGCCGAGGGCTTTAAACTGGGGGAGTAGTGAGCATGGAGATGGAAGATTAATTCTTCTCAGACAAACATTTATGGGAATCTGGCACATTTTATGACCAGCAGAGGTCTCTGGTTGCTGCAGAGAGGACAGCAAAGATGCATAGATGCCCAGCAGATGAGTCTGTTCCAACCATGACACGAGACCCTGAGTGTGCACCATTCAGTAGCAATCCTCTCTACCATCCGAAGTGCATCCTTCCATAGTAAGATGTTCTACCTATGATGCCTTGGCCGATATGGAGAGTTGGAAAGCCCTGCAGCCTAGGCCCACCAAGCCTCCAGAGATCAACACCTGTTCTAGAGGCTGACAGTGTGATGGAATCTGGACGCGGGAGCCCATGACTCTGTATGCCTCACTTTGAGCTTTAACTGAAGAAGTATGGAAGACCACACCAAATGCTGCTTATATACATACTAGCTGCTCTGCATAACCCTTAGCCCTGGGTGACAGTGTGAGCACTCCCTATCTCCTAATACGCTTTGAATAAAAGCCTCTGCCATGAGAAGCAACATGTTAAGATACCAGTAAGCTACAAGCCACGTGGCAACTTATAGACTAATAGATATGGGTTAATTTAAGATATCAGAACTAGATAACAAGAAGCCTGCTGCAGCCATACAATTTGTAAGCAATATAAGTCTCTGTGTGTTTACTTGGTTGGGTCTAAGCGGCTGCGGGACTGGCGGGTAAGAGAGATTTGTCCTGACCGTGAGCCAGGCAGGACTTGAGAAAACTCCAACTACAATAACTATTCAGGATGGTTATAACAATATTTATCATGGTGTAGCTTGCCTTCCAGTGCACTTCCTGTGTAAGAGTGAATTCGAATGTCCAGGGTACATGCAGCAAAGGAGTCCTTAGCTCAGTGAGCACAGCTGGAGAGACAAGCTGACAGGGTAGAATGAATCACTCCCCTGTGCACCAAGTTAAGGGAATGATTGCTACAGGCATTTGCTATGTTTAATGAAGCCAAAGCACACTCTGTTAGTATTCTGACCCGCCCCTTGGCGACCCTCCAAGTGTCCTCCTAATGCCATCCTATGTTCCCTTTAAGAAGAAAACTCCTCCCTCTTTTTGTTCTCTCTCTTCTATCCTTCTCGCCCTTCAGGTGTATACTTCGCCCCCTCTCTCCTCTCCCCTCTTTTCTTTCTCTCTGTCTTTCCACTATAATAAACTCATTTCCACATGGATGCAGTGCCTGGGGTGTGAGTGACACTGTTCACGTGCTGCAGCCTGACACCCACTGCATCTGCCCAGCACCTTGGTCTGGCCAGCCAGGGCCTCCCGCCCGCCACATCATTACACTCTCTGCCCACAAAGACTCTGAGGAAGCGATCTAACTCTGTTGAGCCTGTTTCCTTAACTATAAAAAGAGGGGGACAATATCTTATTGGTCTGAGATATTTCAATCTGATAGTGTCATAAGGTTCTTGAAGGTAGCTGGAGCCCAGTAATCACTCAAGAGGATACCAACAGCTCTCTCTGGAGTCTAAGGAGGATAATCTGTGGCATTGTGTACTCTTAGAGTTCACAAACCTCAGAAACAGTACCACCACTATCACCCTGACTAGGTAGGACCAGGCTCTAAGAAATGACCAAGATAGAGCACAGAGCAGCCACCTCCCCTAGCAAGGAGTCCTGGGGAGTCCCTAAAAAAATCCTTGAGCTGCAGGGGAGCTAGGGGCATGCAACTGAGGGAGATAAGCTCTTCTGCATTTGGAGTGGCCAGGGGGTGATGCACTCCCCAGTCTGCTTGTAGTAGGAACTGGCTGTCCTAGTGACTATAATCTGAATTTATCTATGGGCAGAAGTACCCAGCATGCCCCTCAGGGACTAGAGAAAAACTATTCTCCTTATCTCTGGCGAAAGGGACCTCTGGTCCTTCCATTAACATATGCCTGTGGTGCCTATTAGCACATCAAGGTCTATGCTAGCATCTAAACTCCTTCAATCCCTACTCACAAGCACCTGTTATACACTTCAAAGTCCTGCCCCCTCCAGGTTACAGGCTCCCCTCCTCCCAGGTACCTGCTCCCTTAAAACCATGGAAAAGCACCCCCACCCCCACCCCATCATATCTCTCTGCTTTTCCTGCGATGGCCTAGGCAGTGTGGAATACATTTTTCCCTTTTTATCCACGAATCGACTATTTTTTTTTTTAAACTGGGCCCATTTCATTCAAAAACTTCAAACAGCAAGCATTCAGCTAGTGATAACAAAGCATCGTGATAACAAATGGTACTGTTAGGTTTCAAACCGGAGACAAATAGCTGAGGTGTCTACTTAACATATCAAAGCAGACCAGGCCTCCAGATTCTCCCAGCATCCCTCAGTGACAGAGCCCTAGGGCTTGCATCCCCAGCCCCCTACCTTAAACTCTCCAGCCCAGTAGGCTGGGATTCTCTTCCCTATATAATCCGGATATTTTGGTTACCCTTGGCTCTCTTTGGACCTTTGGACCTCCTGGTTGCTGCACCTGGTTCCCCTCTCTCCCCTCTCCCCTTCCCCTGCCATCTCCTCACATGGCACAGCTCATGTACAATCCGGACTCTCCCAGAGGTCCTTGCTTCTGGCTAGGCTCTCCTGCATATCTATAATAAACCTCCTCCATCACATCTAGGAGCAGTCATGTTTCCTTTCCTTTTTATTTCTTTTTTTTCCACTTATTTGAGGCTGAAACCTGGGATAGAACCAGGGACTGAATGAAAAAAAATAAAATAAAGAAATAACTATATAAAAAGGAAAAGGAGCCTGAAAGGACATGACTTTTGTCCCAGGTTTGAAACCTAACAGGCACCAATTTACCTGAAATAAGTCAGGGCTGGGAGGAAACTGGAAAGCTCTGGGGTGGTAAAGTGACTATGAGGACAGACATCCTGAGAGGAAGCAGCAGTCCTTGAATGCAAACTTTCCAAGGCTGACCAGTGCCTCATCACCACTCAGTTGACCACACAGAGGGAGACTTGGGCCACTGTTCAGGAAAGTTGTATGACACTTTTTCGTGGCCAAGCACTGGCAGAGAAGGTATTAGAACTGAGGGTGGTCATAGACATTCTTCAGATCTCTTGTTGTCCGCATGGGGAAACTGAGGTTCAGAGAAATCTGGAATTTGATCTGTAGCCACCTGGCTGGCAAGGAGCAGGCTGATCTAAGATATACGTCTCGATACTTCCTGTCTATTCTTATCTTCATCCTCACTTTCCCAGGCCAAATGAGCCCTAAAAAGTGACAGATATTTAAGGGACTGCCTGAAGGTAAGGTCTTTCAGAGCTGCATTTATTTTTCAGAACAAAGAAAGCTTCTCTAATGTCTCAATTATGATGAAATTGACAAGCTGGATAATCTATAACTCCCTCTTCAGCTGCAATGTAGCTGGGACACTTTCTCAAGCCCCATACCTATTAAATCACATTGCAGAGAAAGCAGAGTATCTATGCACACACAGCAGATGCCTGTGTGTGTAGATGTCCCCCGTACCCCCGTCCTGCACTAAGTAAGACTCATCTCTTGGGAGCCCCAGAGGGGCAGAGAAGGTGCCAGGACTTCACTGGCTGTGAGTGGATGCAAGAAGATGCGTAACAGAGAATCTCACAACTGGCCAAGCACCCAGAGCACTCATCAGAGGGTTCCTGCCCATTTACGACAGATTAGGCCCACCTGTTCAAAGGTCTGCATAGTCACAAAAATAAGCACACACATACAGGCACGAGACAGCATGCGCGCACACGTGCGCGCACACAAACACACACACACACACACACACACACACAAGCACGTGTGGGTGCATGTATACACACATCACATCTTCTGAATCCCTCAGCAAGAACAGAAAGGAAGCAAAACTGCACTACTCTTTAGCCTATATATAGGACAAGAAATCTGTGGACTCAACTGATTGACAGATCCTGCGCTAGATTCTTCTGTTCCTGTCTTCTGCCCTGTTCCCTCCTCTCCCCCCTCTCACCCTTATCTCTTTAGCATATTTATCTTTTAGCCACTCATCCAATCTCCTTCCATTCCTTCATATTTTCACACTAAAGTTAAGCTTCTTTTCTCTCATTCCACCCATCCATCTATCCATCCATCCATCCATCTATCCATTCATCCACTCAAAATACATCTTTTAAGCTCCTACATGCCAGAGGTACCACTCCATATATCCCAAGGAACACAGAATGGGAAGACAGAGACAGGTCCTGTCTTCAAACAGCTCGTGTGCTTGCAGGGGACGTAGACAGTGGCAATACCTTCAAATGGGAGTTCTTGAGATAGAGTAAAATGCCAGAAGAGCAGCTATCCTCTGAACCTCAGATTTCCCACCTGTGTGTGTGGGGAGGGGGGGAGACGATGACAATGTACCTCTCACCTGCTGTGCTAGTTAAATGAAGAAATGCATGGGCTCTCAGCAAGCGGTGGCTGCTGCTGCTGCTATCAATGTCACCACTGTCATGAACACTCCCAGCATGGGCATACACACTGAATAATGAATTACTTGGGAGATGCTGTTCCCCCAGGCATGTGGCTCACAAAGCCAAATGTAGACAAAGCAACCAGGTAAGAATAGACTTTGAAAAGGGACTTCAAAGGGAGCTGTCCTGTGCAGAACTGAGCAGGCACATTCCTTTTGTGGGAATGGATAATGGATTGTCTGAGAGCATCACGGGGCGGACATGGAGGGGGGGGTATCACCGAGGCACAAAGTGGGCACGTCCAATTCAAATTGTGCAGTGATTTCCCATTCTGGGCAGAGCAGCTCGGCTGCAAACACGCCAGCTTCAAAGCACCTGAGTTTTCAAAGGGAAACAGGAAAAGTCACCTTCATCTTGTAAGTCGGACAAAGAAGCTGTGACAAAAGACTGCACCCCTTGAGTGCCCACTCCGTTTCACAGGCCCCATCAGCAAGAAGAGATGGATACCTCTGTCTGCTGTGGCTTCCTCCAAAAGCCCCAGAAGTTTAACTGGAGTTGCTTGATGGGCAAGATGGAGCAAAGGTGACTAAGGCCTGAAGCCTTCAGGTTACCACACTGGATCCTTCGCGAAAACCCCGGGAGTCAGGGTCTGCTGCCGACCTATAAGCCATGCCAAAGAGCATGGCACTGGACTCTGCACCATCGCGGTGGGAGGTGCTTCCAGGAGCATCTGCTCCCCTGCATGTTCTTCCTGTTGAACACACACACAGGTATAGCGGCCTTCTACTAGAAAAATCCTCAGTCTTAAAGATACAGATGTTGCATTGATGCAGTCCACTGGGGCACACTGACAGGGCACACACTTCCTGGGACTGGATATGTCTGAACCATGCCTAGTCCTGACCTCAGGTGCTGGTGAGATATGCACACACAGCAGAAATTGGACCTGTGGACAACGGAGGAGGCAAAATGGAGAAAAGGACCTGGAACTAGGAGACAGACTGAGCCAGGAGACAGACCTTGGTGAGGAAAGCAGAGGAGAAGCCAACAGTCCACACGCTCACTCCAAGTGCTAAGCGGGACTTGTGGTCACAGGAGAACTAATCAATGTGCAACACAATCGGAGCAATGGGGCCATCGACTCCCCACACTCCACAAGCTGCCATGGCCCTTCTTTCTGCCGGGCATTGTTGGAGATGGTCTTTTCATAGCCTCAGAATGCTTCTCTCTGCTGCAGGCCTTTAGTCACATGCCGGCTTCCCCACCTGCTGAGCTCCTCATCTGTGTATGCTGCTGATCCAATCCCCCTTCTCTCTGAAGTACCTCTATTTATTCATTCATCTGCTCAATTTGCCATTTGCTTGCCAATCCACCGACGCCTGCTATACTCATTGTCATGAAATTTTTAGGATGGCCCCAACCTGCCAAAAGGAAAACTGTATACAGACGCTCCTCGGTGCTGAGGGATTACTGCCACCTGCACAGTTCAAACCATCCCACCAGGACATTGGTGACAGATGAGAATGATAGAAGAGTTGGCAGGGGGGGGGAGGGACCCACGACGACACGGGACGATGACGACACCCTTAGATCTGCAAGCTGCACATGAAAGCAATCCTGTGTGTTGGAGTCTCTCATACCTGTGATTTCTTTGGATCCTCCATTAGTGTGTTTAAAGCGGTCTCCTTCTACCCGAACACTGGGGCAGAGCACGTCTGAAAAAAAGGCAAGAGGAAACAGACAGGTGAGAAAACATGCCTACTGTGTCCCTATTGAGTGTGAGAGCAACAAGCCCCACTCTACCTACCGTGAAGAGTGGCACACAGAGGGGACTGGTGGCCCTGTATTATTTAATTCTTCCACGTACCACTGGACATGTCTTGCCAGGACAGTCATTATTGTAGCTTACAGGGTTCACAGCTTGGTAAGACTGGTGCTCCATTTTCTCCTCTGGCAGCATGCACGGCACTTTCCAGCACTACGAAAGCCAGTAGGAATGAAGCTTCCAGATCAGTGCGAGCTTGATATTTCCACGTTTTAGGATTCAAGTATCTTTAGCAATGTATGTGTGTGTGTGTGTGTGTGTGTGTGTGTGTGTGTGTGTGTGTGTGTGTGTGTGTGTACATAGACGCACAGGTTTTCAAGTGACTTTTTGAGAGATCTTCAGTATTATTTATCTATCCCTTGTATACCCTCTTCCTCTACCCTACCCTTTCATTCCCATATCAATCCAATCCCTCTTGTTTAATTAATCTTTTAGCCTTTATACCACTGATCATTTCTGTCTTTTGTTATTGTTCCTTTGAGGGGAATGTCCTGGGAAAACCTCACTGTTCTTGGGCAGGCAAGCAGATGCAACCATCTATCAATTCTTATCAGAGGAGCTTCTATTTGTAGTAATGAGCGGTTAACATGGAGGCTGTGAACTGGCTAACCTGCAGAGATGAAGACATGGGAAAACTAGATCACACCCCTTCCTCCAAGACTCGGGGATCATTGCAAAAGAGAAGAAAGATTTTAGGATCCAGAGGTGATGAATGATTACAAGGACGTAGTGTTTTGTAGACACAGCAGGGCAGCTGACTATATGAACTCAGAGCAGTGGCAGCATGCACAAAACCCGTGAGTTCAAGCCAGACCAAATCTCCAGCATGGAGAGGGGAAGTGGGCATGAAGTCCCACCCCTAGCTGGGGTGCTACTGGAAACAGAGAGCAGGAAAAGATGGAGTCAGTTTTCCTTAAGAGGGTATCCCCTGGAGAGATGACTGTGCTCCAGTGAGAGGTTATATATCCAAGATTATATGGGTAGCACAAATTGGACTTGATAGGTGTTTTATTTTTTCTTTTTTAAGGAGCACATAAATTTGGCTTGGTAGGGAAGGCTCATGGATCTGGAAGGAGTTCAGGGTGGTGGTGAATATGATTAAAACATATTGTACAAATTATCTAGGAACTAATAATTTTTAAGAAATCATAAGATTGAGCCACACAGATAAGAGAACCGAAGGAGATATAGGCTGAGAAAAATCCATTTGTGGAGATATGAAATATGAAATATTTATACAAACATACATATGAAAATGATAGGCCAGTGAGCCATTCATCAAATGGGAATTGTGTGCCAGAGGGTGAGCCCCCAAGACACCTGCTCACCTCCCTCTGATCCAGCCCTGCCCAGGAAGCAATCTGGCTCTTATGTATTATTACTTTAATCACCAGGCACTTTCACCATCTATTAATTTTATGTGCAGGAACTGATCACTTTTCCTATTTGGGGACATCAACATTTGAGTGCAGGGCTGTTGGGGCACCCTTGGCTCACAACAGGAAGGGGAATGGGTGAGAGTGACCCTGCTTTCCAGGATGTATTTTAATGCACACCCCCTATAAGGCACCAAGAGGTCTGACAACCACAGGGAAAGAGTTATTTTGGAAGCAGCACCAGGATGTCTGTCTAGGACTAAATCTAAGGGAAGAAGCAGGCACAGGGCAATATTTAGACAGCTCCACCCAACACAGACTACAGCTGTAGGGTGGTGAATGATTGCTGTAACTCTGGCAGCCCCCCAGAAAGACAGGCTGGGGATGGTCAGTCATTGAAATGAGTCTACACTGTAAATGGAGTTGACCCAGATGGCTCTGTCCAGGATGGTGAGCAAAACCCTGGAGGCTGATGGGTGCGTCACTGAGTCACATCTACACATAACCCATAGGAAGGAAGGACCTGGTTTTTGAAGACCCAGATGGCAGCGGCAATCTGGAGATCACAGACACAGAAAGACTGGGTGTCTTGTTGGGGGAGACAGACTTGTTCACACTGCTTTAAGGAATCCTTCCCAACAGAACCGCAGATTGTCAAAGGCCCTCAGCGCATGTCATTGCTAAGCCTCCTCCATTCGAGAGGCTCACACGGCAATTCACACCCCATCTGGTTAAGTCAGCACATATAGCTCACCAAATAACTCCCCAGCCAGGCTTCCCAAGAATGCTAGGGGCCTTGGGCGTCACCCATGTCATAGCTGAATTGGACAGGCACCCCACAGGCTCACATTTTCAACTCCATTTCCCCTACTGGTGGCACTGTTTTGAGGAGTCCTGGCAACTTTGGGTGTATGAGCCCACCTAGCAAAAACAGCTGACTACCAGGGGTGGGGGGCTTGGAAGGTTATACCTGACTGCCATTGCTGCCTCTCCTTCCTAATGGCTGTGACGTGAACAGCCTATACCACAGGCTCCCATTGCCATAAACTCCACTGTGCCTTCCCCATGATGGACTAAAACCCCCTGAAACCATGAACTAAAATAAATACTTCCTTCTGAAAACTGTTTCCCACGTCAGGCCAGTGTGACACAAAAGTAGCTAACATGGCCTGCTTTCAGGGAGCTAGGCGTGGTACCCCAAGCCCAGCTAAGCCATCTTCCAGTTCCCGTTACAAAAATACCTCTACATCTTGAGTCATGGCCTGTCACTATTTGTTCAACTGAAATACAGACTGACCTCTAGATCTGTCCCAAACTCACACATTATTCAAAGGACATAGAAATGGGTAACAGAGCATACTGCAGTTCTGCCTTCAGCTGCTTGTGGGCTGTGATGTCCCTACTCATTCCTACCTGGAGAAGGACCCCCTCCAGAGAGACCAAGTTCCAGAGCTAGTGACACAATACTCATGTCACTGTTGGGCATGTGTGCCCCCAGTCGGTGGCTGGATCTCAGTTCAAGTGTATATGCCCACTGTCTCCACCAGGTGTAGCCCAGGCCTCTGATTTAATCCAAATAGAAACAACCACTGACCCTTGAACTGGGAGGAAAATGTTGGCTGGTAGATGGTAGTATTCAAGATACCCTATTCACCATGATTTTGATGAGTCAAAGAGATGATATCCTAGGCTCCAACGCTTCTGGGATGGGGGTGTGGCAGTCACTTTTAGTCATCAACATAATCCTCACCGTTTACTTCTGTTGGCTACAGGAATGACACCATTTTCAACCCACAGGAAAAAAAAAATCTGACTAATTGGTAATTCGTTATGTCACTGTAGTTGAGATTTTTTTCACTTTGCAATCAAATGCATCCAAACTTGGAGAAACCCACTTCTTGTGGGCTGCACCAAGATGCTGGGGCAGAGAACTCTTTGAAAGTCTGAGTTTCTGGATATGTGAGGAGAAGCAGTGGGTTATGGGAACCAATGCATTATTCCCCTGGGAGAGAAGCCACTGGCAGAGCAGGGTCCCTTCACTGTCCCAGTATACATGGATTTGTCCAGTAACTACTGGGATCCACTTGAGCAAGAGTTCTGGAGTTAGAGCAGGGACAAGAGCTGAGGTTTCAAAAAAAACCCACTTACGGTGTTCTTGGCTGGTTGCATTTCCTTCTTACAAACCTGAGAACAGAAATGGATGACTGCCAAGTCCCTGCTCCCTCAGCACCGGTTCACTGTCTACACACCATTATCCACCCACTGCATTTTAGGTTTAGAACAAGGGCCCCGTGCTTCTCAGGAGAAAGCTGGTACGCTTGCGTCCTCACACAGATCAGGCTTCATCATGCCAGGAGCTGGTCAGAAGAGCTTCCCCAAGGGGTAACACTAGACACCTACTCCAGTCTCTCTGGAAAAGCACTTGAACTTACTTGCCCTCAGTTTACCATATAGACAAGGAGTCCATTTGGCATATTATGGAATGGGGAACGTTTCTGACATCCTGCACTTTATGTTGGCACATCCGTGGACCTCTCTGTGGGACATACAGTCATACCCCTCTTTGGTGTTCACCCAAGTCTTTTCCAGTTTGGAAAAGAGGAAATGGGCAATTGTTAGGAGCCCACTGCATGCCCATTGCCTGGCCCAGAACTGAACACAGTACCATCCTTAGTAGAATGTGTTCCTATTACACAAATGCAACAACTAATATCTAAGAAAACTGGGGAAATTCACCAGGTCTGAGGAGCACCTGTATTTAAATTAAACACCACCTTGAATCTAGATCCCTGTAGTGGAGATGACAGGTCCTAGGGGTAAATATCAGCAGGACCAACAGCGGCCAGGCATGCAGCTGTAGCTGGGTAAGGATAAGACAGAGCAATTGCTGCTCATTCATCATCAGCTCATGGAAGGTGCTGCTGGGTGCAGCTGACCACAGGGAGATGCTGATGTTCCAAGTGGACAAGGGAGAAAGTGGAGAGGGGGAGGGATAACTCACTTGTAGACACATATCCCAGTCTTCCACTGCTCCAGCTGTGTCAGCGAGGGATCGTCTATGCTCGCCTGCTTCACAGAGGCAGCAGACAGTATACCACGTACAACGACTCCAGAGATAACATTAACAAGCATTCCATTCCTAATGGCTTCCCAGGGATGGGGTGGCCATATGTCTAAGTTCAATACTGGGCATGCTGTGTGGGCTGTTTGTGGGTTTCTTCACTACTCAATTGGGGGAAAGAATTATCTCCAGGACCAGAAGACATATGGAGCTGGCTTGCTGTGCAGCAGACACTGTTGGGAAGCATGTAAAATACATTAACAGATTTAATTACATTCTCGCTACAGCTTTATGAAGTGGATGCCCTTAATTACAGAAGCACAAAGAAGGGTATACAGAAGGCAGGAACTGCCCAAGGCTCACACTGCCAGCAGGTGGTGATTCAGCAGGCTCCCGTATCTGGTCCTCAGCATGCACGCACGCACGCACGCACGCTATGGCCTCTCTAGAGGC